CAGTATTTGCATTATTTAATTCAAAGAAAATCAGTAATATTTTTAAAAACTACAAGTCCCTTTCTATCAGCTGTGCACCGTTATGGTGTAAATATAACCTATCTACCAATTGGATCAAATATAAAAGTCAGCCGAATTAGTGTTGATACTGCAAGGAGACGTATTGGGTGAAGAGAAATCTAAGATGTTGTTTAATTGTTGATATATTTATGATCCACGTCAAGTTTTCAGTTTCGGCGGAAGTTCTTCCTGTTTGTCTAGAAGTCTTCTAATCAGGGCTCTATAAATAAAGAACTACGGCAGATATGTAATATTTAATGCAGCCGAACCGTGTATTACAATGCCGTTATGTGATGACTTCCAAAGAGAAAAGCAAGAACACTCGGAATAAAGTATTATTATTATTATTTATTTTTTATGTTTTCGGATTTCATATCGCATAAACACCATATCCCAACGTGCATTGCGGCTAAAACCTCCAATCACAGAGCTTCAACCATAGCTGAGGATTATGGGTAATTAGATGTTTTCGCTTATCAAAACCTCTGAAAAAGGAAATGTGTCTCTCAGAATCGAAAGGGAAAAACACAAAAGCATTGTACACAATTTAAACCAATCAATGTTGTGTAATTAACAAGGATAAACTGATGTTTTTTAGTGGATGAGTACTGCAGATATCACTGTGAAATCATTTGACAGTCAGGGGAATACTTCCGGTTTTACTATGAAAACTTCGAGACCGGAAATACTGTTTTTTACTGTTGACGCTAACTTTACATGGACGCTGCCGTCAATAGAAATGAATAGGGGGAAAGACGTAGTATATACACGTTCTCCTGGCGAGACCTCAAATCATCTTTGTAATATCTATCAAACTAAAGATCCTACACATCCACTGGACGTAGATTCTAAAAGTACAATACACACTTCTCGCTAGAAATCTAATCAAAAAGCATTTTAATGGCCAAACTCTCCTGCAATTTAGGATTTTCCAGAGAGGGTTATTTGTGAATATACGACCCTCCGGAGCGTTTGCAGTCAACGGGAGCATCAGCCCATATGCCGCAAATTGTTGTTTCTTACACGACCACTAGAGGTGCTAAACTTTGAAACGTGACTATAGGTCGTAATAAGCTGTTGAACAATCAACCTATTTGGTCGTGTTTTTTGGAGGAGGACAGGCTGGTATTAGGTTAGTGTCCCGGCCAGAGGGAGAGATGGTGAATGGCAGCCTGTCTGCAGGGAGACACACACACACACACACACACACACACACACACACACACACACACACACACACACACACACACACACACACACACACACACACACACACACACACACACACACACACACACACACACACACACACACACACACACACACACACACTGACCACAGGGTGGCTTTTTCACATGGCATTTAAAGAGAAGCACGTTTGTGCACACCGAGGACTAATGAGCTACTATTGTACTGTGTGTGTGTGTGTGTGTGTGTGTGTGTGTGTGTGTGTGTGTGTGTGTGTGTGTGTGTGTGTGTGTGTGTGTGTGTGTGTGTGTGTGTGTGTGTGTGTGTGTGTGTGTGTGTGTGTGTGTGTGTGTGTGTGTGTGTGTGTGTGTGTGTGTGTGTGTGTGTTGTGTGTGTGTGTGTGTGTGTGTGTGTGATTCAAGTTGTTGCATCATGTGTATTCAGTGTGTACAGTATGCAGTTACATTTTATTCAGATGTATGCTCTAATATACAGATGTTAATCCTGTTGAAATGGTCATGTGTGCGTGCACGTGTCCTTTTCCGTACAGTAGAGCCACCCTAACTCAGTGCAGGACCAAGGGTTCCCTCCAATATGGGTTCTCTGGGTTATTCTGTTTTAGAAAGGTCCAATAACAAAGTCTAAAAGAGGATTCCAATGACCCTAACGGTTAGGTGGAGGGGAGATGGACAAATATGGACACATTAAGCCCTGTCACCTTCCTAACATATTTTTGTATCTCCCTGACAGACAATGGATACAATCGCTGCTGAGTCACAATCATACACCCAGCAGGGTTACACCAATAAACCGTCACCACTGTACTTACTGATGTTAGCATGCAGATACAGTGTGTGGGTCAATCTGTGAGCTCACTAGGATCCGGTGTCCACCACACTGTAGTTTATCTCTGTCAAATGTCCTGCTCGTCACATACTGTACACTGCTACCAATACAGATGTTTTACATCATGACATCTTTCCAATGAGATGAGCTTGGAGCCCCAGCAGCAGCTGCTGTGATTGGCTCTCTGTTCTCTCTGTTTACTCTCCGTCTTGGCCTTCCTAGTTTACAGCTTGTTTCTCACCTCCATCCTCTCCATATCCTCTAGTCTCCCTGTATCTCTTATGTTCTCTTCTCCATTGTATTACCCTCACAACAACTTAAAGGCCTGTGCCTCCAGAACAGCCTCAATGCTACAGACCAACAGGAAGCATGGCCCCCTGCTGAGGGGGAATAGTTGGCAGCTGCAGACTGAACCTGAGACCTTTGAGTGTCAGCAGCATTATGAGGACAGAGATCAGAATGCAACCAGGACTCGATGACACTCATCTCACGGCTCACTGCTGCAAACCATGAAAGTGCTGTGTATGCATTCTTGGCCTCATCTCAGGGTGGACATGGTTCCACACCAGACTGCTGTATCCTCTCTAGTTTGTCAAGTGACTGCTTAGAATACACAGCCATTGAATGAAACATCTCCAGGCTCTGGCTTGACAGCCTGTCATCTGCTATCAATCAAAAATAGAAAGGGAGCATTTCCCCCTTTAAATAAACAACTATTATGTAAACATTTAAAATGTGACATTGGTGTTGTTTTATGAGAAATGATTGACAGCTTGCAGTTTCTTTGGTGTTTATTTCTTCCAATGGGGGGTTGAGGGAAAGCCATGCAAAGGACCGTTTGTGTTCCTCCTGTCACATCAGTGTAGCACGTCTACATCAACTGATGTTTCACATCAATGATTAAAGCTACGCTCAGTTATTTGGCTGCTAAGCAACAACTTAGCATGATGCTGCGTTGGATGAGTGTGTGGGGGTGTCTTTCTAAATAAGAGGCTGCAGCAGAGACCTGGTTCAAACTGAACTCTGTCGTCACATGAAGCTGCCAGCAGCTGACATGTTGCAGCGTGTGCCTAGGTATAATGATTATACCAGTGTGTGTCTTTCATGAAGGCTGTAGGTGTCTCATCGGAGCTTTCTAGAGCTGCACAGGGTAAGAGCAGACGGCAGAGATGTGACTTCAGTTAACATTCAATAGGCAAAGCTGACACCAGATCTGTTCACACCCGCAGCGCTGTGATGTGTGTCGCTGCATCTGAGTGTGAGGAGCAGAAAGCCGCCCTGATGCTTTCTTTACAACACATCAGAGTGTGTGTGTGTGTGTGTGTGTGTGTGTGTGTGTGTGTGTGTGTGTGTGTGTGTGTGTGTGGTGTGTGTGTGTGTGTGTGTGTGTGTGTGTGGTGTGTGTGTGTGTGTGTGTGTGTGTGTGTGTGTGTGTGTGTGTGTGTGTGTGTGTGTGTGTGTGTGTGTGTGTGTGTGTGTGTGTGTGTGTGTGTGTGTGTGTGTGTGTGTGTGTGTGTGTGTTAAACTCTGCCCATGCCAGCTGGACTCTGCCGTGGCTTTCCTCCAGATGCAGGGAACTTAAGTAGTACAAGAATCCCCCCCCTTCCTCCCTCCTGCACATCTGGCCTCTCCAGATGTGGGTGAAAAACATGTAAAACCCCCCCCCACACACACACGCACAGACCACACTGGGTTTATTTAGGGATTGTCACTTTGCTCTCCTGTTGGTTTGGCTGATCAGAATATGTGTGATATATCTAATTGAAGTGTACGACTGTAAACCGGCGGTAATAGAGATCTAGCATGTTAGGGGGAAAGGCTTGGTCTCTTCTAACTCCCCATGTTTCTAATCTCTGCAGATCCATTCTTTTCTGAAAATGGCAGCAAGTCTCTGAATTATCTCAAATACCTGGATAGATGGCTTCTAGAAAGACATTCTTAAATGTCATTTGCTTGAAGTGCTGTGCTGTCAGATGTGAGCTGTGGCTGACTGTAGTTCACTTGACTTTATAATAATTGGCAATAGGCCATGTTTGAAAGTGAGAGTGTTTAACACGTGTTCCTTCATCCCCTCACCATTCCTCCGTGTGTGTGTTGGACCGTTGTTTCTCCCACCTTCATCGTCATCAGCGTGTTTTTAGGGTTGATAACAAATTCTCCTTCTTTTGAAAGGGGAGTGGAGGAGTCAGCAGACTTCTTGTGATGCAGCATATGACTGAGAGAGAAGCAACGGGGGGGGGGGGAGAAAGAGTGGGATATTAAGCAGAACATTAAAACGTAGGAAGTCAGAAAGCAAGACAAATATATGAAGTGTAAAGGAGGAATGAAAGAACTGAGGAAGAGAAAAAGAAAAGGATTGATAGAGACGAGTGATGATGGACGAGTAAGGGAGAAAAACAGACGGAAAAACGAGGGGGTGTACCAACACTGTAACTAGTGTTTCATTCAAATAAATCCACCAACTAAATAAATAAGTGAATACGAATGAATTCATTCAAATGGCACTTTGATGTCCTACTTAAGATCTCAAATGTGAATGAATGAAAGAACATGACAAGAGGAAGAGGAGGGACGGGGGAGGCAGGAAGTGGCAGTGAGGCAAAGGGCGGGGAGGGTCTCCTCAGTGCTGAGGACAGACAGACACCACACGCTGCGGAGTCTGTATTTGATGCTCGTCATCCCTGATACCTTCCTCCTTAGACCCAATCAGGACATTATGCTGAAGTTTAGCACCACCCCCCGCTGCAGGTGTGTGGCTGCGTGTGGCTGTGGTGTGATTTTTTGAAATAGCGTGTGTGTGTGTTATGACGCTGATGTGGTACTTCTATATGCTTTGGTTGGATTTGGGTGTAGTTGTGGGGACTTTACGCTGTCTCTGTCTGACATTCTGTTTTCTCTCCCTGCAGCCACAATGAGAGAAAGGTGACCTGTAAGCACCCGGTGTCCGGCGCCCCCTCCCAGGACAACTGCATCTTTGTGGTGAACGAACAGTAAGTCTCTCTGCTCTCAGACTCAGCATTGTATCACTCTGATCTAGGGAGGCTGTGGCGTAGTGGACTAGTCCGTTGGTGTTGGGATCAGGTTCAAACCCCACTGCAGTCAGCATGTCGTTGTGTCCCTGAGACACTTCACCCCAAATGGCTCCTGTGGGGATTGTCCACAGTATAGAGTATGTAAGTCGCTTTGGATAAAAGCGACTAACAAGTGACATGTCAAATGTAAAATCTGGGTACTGATTGGAAAGGGCACTGAAACACTTTCAGATGGAGTCCTTCATCAAGCCTCTGTTGGGTTGATGAGTGGCAACAATAGAGTAGCATGAGTTATTGTGAGTGATCTCAAAGTGAATGCTCCCTTTATCACACTGCCAACTGAATACGAACACATTGTTTGGATATGAGCAGCATCTCATTCAGTTTAGTTTTGTTCCTGTGCTCTGCAGAGGTGTGAAGTAACTAAGTATATTTGCTTAAGTAAAATTTTGAGACAGTTGTACTTTACTTGAGTATTTCAATGTTATGCTGTGTACTTCAACTCCACTACAGTTCAGAGATCAATGGTGTACTTTGACTCCACTACATGTATTTAATACCTTTAGTTACTTCACAGATGTGGATGAATGATGTGAAATCTAACCAAGTGTTAAATCAGACTTTAGTTCCACCTGGAGTAAATTCACAAGCTACCCTGTAGTATACAAAGTCATTCAAACTAGCTGCACCTTTACCAGCTTTGAGAACACTTTCATGATCAATCATTATAAAACATATCATATATATTATTCTGAAATGGACCAATCTGCACAATGACTACTTTTACTGTCGCTACTTTAACTATATTTTGATAATACTTTTCTACTATTACTTAGAGGAACATTTTGAATGCAGTACTTTTACTGTAACAGAGTATTCCTACACTCTGGTACTTCTACTTTTACTCAAGTACAAGATCTGAGTACTTCTACTTTTACTCAAGTACAAGATCTGAGTACTTCTCCCACCTCTGGTTCTGTTATTGAAAGAGTTGGCTGCCTCTCAGACCAGAAGTCAGGACTTTAGAGCAGTTGAGGGGTTACCATGACACTCTGACAATGTGCTGTTAAAATGAACAGCCGTGGGTCATAAACAATAGCCCTTAGCTGTTATTTGAGACTGAATACATTTCTGATGCTGATTTTTCCTTCTTGCAATGATGTAACACATGTATGATAAGCATCAGTAGGCATGAGGCAGTCCAGTGTTCAGATATGGCTTTAACTGTGGTGCTATGGAGGATCCTGCATCATCACCGTCTTCAAGCTCTTTATAATAGTAATATTCAGAAGCGTCCATGCAGCTGTGAGGAACAGAGCATCAGTGTGCAGCAGGAGGGACGCCCACAGTGGAGCGGAGACACCACAGTCCTCAGTCTGTCCCTCTCTCCCAGTCCTCAGTGTTTATGACACAGAATGGTCCAATCCGTTCTCAGTCCCACTTCCGATCCCATGCCTTCTCTCAGGGTCATAATAAACTAATTATCAACTTTTATTTTACCTGATTATTTGTCTGTCTGTCTGTCTGTCTGTCTGTCTGTCTGTCTGTCTCTCTCTCTGTCTGTCTCTCTCTCTATCTATCTCTCTCTGTCTGTCTGTCTGTCTGTCTGTCTGTCTGTCTGTCTGTCTGTCTGTCTGTCTGTCTGTCTGTCTGTCTCTCTCTATCTCTGTCTGTCTGTCTGTCTGTCTGTCTGTCTGTCTGTCTCTCTCTCTCTATCTCTGTCTGTCTGTGTGTCTGTCTGTCTGTCTGTGTGTCTGTCTGTGTGTCTGTCTGTCTGTCTGTCTGTCTGTGTGTCTGTCTGTCTGTCTGTCTGTGTGTCTGTGTGTCTGTCTGTCTGTCTGTGTGTCTGTGTGTCTGTCTGTGTGTCTGTCTGTCTGTCTCTCTCTCTCTCTCTCTCTCTCTCCCTCTCTCTCTCTCTCTCTCTCTCTCTCTCTCTCTCTCTCTCTCTCTCTCCTCTCTCTCTCTCTCTCTCTCTGTCTGTCTGTCTGTCTGTCTGTCTGTGTGTCTGTGTGTCTGTGTGTCTGTCTGTCTGTCTGTCTGTCTGTCTGTCTCTCTCTCTATCTCTCTCTGTCTGTCTGTCTGTATGTCTGTGTGTCTGTGTGTGTGTCTGTCTGTCTGTCTGTCTGTCAGACACATGCACACACTCTCCATATCTTTCACACTCGCATTCAACTCCCCTTCCAATTATCTCCTCTGCCAAACAGCTCCTGTGTGTGTGTGTGTGTGTGTGTGTGTGTGTGTGTGTGTGTGTGTGTGTGTGTGTGTGTGTGTGTGTGTGTGTGTGTGTGTGTGTGTGTGTGTGTGTGTGTGTGTGTGTGTGTGTGTGTGTGTGTGTGTGTGTGTGTGTGTGTGTGTGTGTGTGTGTGTGGTGTGTGTGTGTGTGTGTGTGTGTGTGTGTGTGTGTGTGTGTGTGTGTGTGTGTGTGTGTGTGTGTGTGTGTGTGTGTGTGTGTGTAATCGTGTTGAGCAGACAGGAGGTGTGTGATGCTGCTTATGAAAGTGCCCAGCTGGCACATGTTGCATGACTATTACATGGAACTGAATACCATGTTCCTGACTCTCCGGTTTCCTTTTCTCCGTGTTGTGTGATATATTGTAACTCCCTAATATCTTGTTCAGTTCATCTCCCTTATGTTTTGTTAATATCCCCCTGCTCCCCACATCTTAACAAGTTTATTGGAGGAGTTTTCAAAGATATGTCACACTTGTGTGCCTCCTGACAGTTAGTCCTTGTCTTTGTCTCTTCCTGCTCCCTCAGTCTGTCTCCTCTCTTAATTATTAACACATTCCGCTCACATGTCTCCAGAGTCGGGTTGTACAAATAACAGAAAGATAAGAGCTCAGAATAACAAAAGAAAATTCAAACAGACAGACGTTAGAACATCTGACAGAGAGGGGGATAAGAAGAGAAACAGGGATATTGGCTAATGGGAGGCTCTGAATGATCAAAGCTGTTCTTGGGAACGCTGATGGAAAAAAGTAGGGCTTTAAATTCATAATCAGACGGCGGGAGGGAGGAACTGCTAGGTTGGTGTTTTGGACAAGAGGTTTAGTGTTTGACCAGAAACCCAGCCTGTTTTCAAATGGACACACTCCCTGCTCCACCTGCACACACACCTCTACGGTCCTCTCCTCTAGGGATGTTGGCATAATGATGGTGTTCACTCAGGGAACAGTACATGGACATGATCCCCATCAACCTGTTCGTTTGAAGCTGTAGGACGAGTGTTGTTGTTACTTATATCTCACTTATAGATAATGGGATTTTTACTTTTGAGATTTGTTACCAAATGCCCTGCCAATATATGTGCTGTTTAGGAATGAAATCCTCTATAAGCCCCTGTACCACATATTTATATCATGTTGGTTTGGTAACCATCAATGCATGATTTCGGACTCCGGATATTCGGTAGTAATTTTTGCAATATACGTTGGCCAGGGGGACATTATTTGTTGATGCACAGCTGGCTCGCGGGGACGACAGGAGCCGAGGGACCAGGCATGAGCATCAGTTCTGAAGTTAGCACGGCTAGGATGTTGCATAGAGAGGCGAAGTCCCTCCCCTTCCGGTGGGACTCATGGGACCTTATTTCGGAAAAAGTTTGTATTGAAGTCAATGGAGAGAGAAAGATTATCTTTCGATCCCGTTTGAATTGTGCCATGAATTACACATATGATGTTTGTCAATCTTAAATAATTTTCCAAAAGTCACAGTTTGTCGTAAAACTATTGAAATATAAGACTATGAAAAATACACAACTAGAAAGACTACAAATCCCAGAGTCCCGGTCCCGCATGCTGGCTCTTAGGAACCGACTAACTCCCCTTGTGTGTATGTACAGCTCTCAACATGCCCAGACTTGGAGTGATCTTCACCTCTTTTAATACTTTCCGCCTCATTCTGAAAGAAAGAAGTGAAATGTGCCAACGTGACGGCCATCTTGGTGTGTGGTGCGAGACGGGAGATGTAGTTCATTGAGCGTTTCACACAACAAAAAGTGTTACTTCACCCCCCGAAGAGGCACAAGCTCTTACGTTGATATTGGAGATTTCAATAAATTGCAGTGCAGCGCGGCTGCCAAAAAAAAAGAATATCCGAATAACGAAATTGAAAACGAAATAGTGGGCCAACGACCGCATATTCGGATATTCGGGTACAGCCTTTATGCATACAGTCTATGGGTACAGCCCTATTTGGTTGAGTGGTTTTATTTGATTTATTATACAAATTATTTAATATTATATTATCATTACATTAGTTGAATAACATTGTCTCAAAATGACTGTTATAGTTTTATTGCAACAACTTCTGGTACAATTTGTTGTACTGACTTCACCTTCACTCTTTATCATTGTTTTTCCTTCTTCATGTTTTCATTTTTCTCATTTTTTGTTTCAAATTCACAATGTTATGTTTTTCATTCTCTTTCCCTCCTTTGTTCTGTTTCTAGCACAAATTATGGGAAGCTTGTCCACCCTGACACGCCCATAGAGGCTCTGAGCAGGTAACCCCCCCCCCCGACCTACTGCTTCCCTATTGGCTTCCTGCTTTAATACAAGTTTGCTAGTGTCAGTGACTAACCCTGAGGGGGTGCATGCATAGTGTGTCACTGTGTTCAGGGACCAGCCGCCCTGACCAGTCACATGAGGAGACCAGTGTCAACATGAAGTAACAGACCACAGAGTTTTAAAAAGAATACAGATGATTGACTGGTCTTTAGGTTTATCGTTCACTCCCTAGTCTCCTGCTGCTGATGTAGTTGACACGGCAACAACTCATAAAACTGTAGGCACTACTTTATCCATCTTGACCCAACTACAACTATTAATGAATGAATGAATATCCCACATACTGTTTACCACTGATAAAAGCCACAAACCAACACATTGGTCACACAATAGGTTGTTCTTTATACGAGTAGCTCTTGTCCTCAGAACAATGTCCTTCTTCATGTTCCCTTGAAGTGTGGGAAGTTGTGACTGAAGTCCCTCTCATCATATATCACCTTTCTGCTTTGTTAGGGTTCCTGCTGAAAAGCTTCCTAGCATTACGCATTCCTCTAGACGTCAGCTATATCTGACCGTTTCTGTGTGGCTTATCACAAAAGTGATCCCAATGTCTTCAGCTGCCTCCTGGGCCTGTGCTGGAAGCAGCCAGTAGTTTTCACCAGAAGCAATTGCAGTAGGTGATCAGTGGTCTCAAGGGGGGGGGGGGTCCAAGTCTGAGCGTCCTCTCCTGTCCCTGCTCTGCTAAGACTCACTTTATTTCAGACTCAGTGTGAATTGCTTGACGAGTGCTAATGCACAAATGATATTCTGTATGATTGATGTGAATGCTAACCTCTGAATATTAACCCTGTGTGTGATTTAATAGTAAACTAAGGTTTTTTGTTGCCATCCAAACAAAAGTAAATTCCTCTTTCCTTCTGCAGTGTCAGACAGGTCCCACGCTCTCAGCGACAGGATGTGTCTCCTACTGCTGAAGCTTTACATGTCTCATGTGAACAGAGACTCCTTGATGATTCATAACATTAAAACAAGAGAATGTCATTACTGAGAAACATATCATAAGAGTTTCCCAGTGTCCCTTAGTACTGCTGTCAGTTATCTCTTATCAAACTATTTCACATCACAAGTGTTACTTATTTGATAGATGCTTATGTAAAAGATTGAGCTTTTTTAATGTTCTTTGTTTGGTTTATTTGATCATATGTGAGTAAGGGTTCTGCCTGTTATCGTTTGGCTTGTGTTTAAATGTGCTTCTATGTGCCCTGTTACTACTGCAGTGATATGTCATTCTCCCATGCACTGTGCTGCACGCTTTTAGAGTTTTGATTCAATATAAAGTCCAATCACTTCACCTTTAGATTTCTCGATTGTTAGGCTAATGTCATTGAGGTCAACGCTTCCTGCAGAGATGTTAATATCAGAAGCCGCCCACATATCAAAGCATCATTCTTTTCCTAACAGTGCAGCCTTAACCTGAGAAATGAAGGTAAAGTTAGTCGGGGTTCTGCAGCAGTGTTTGTTAGATAACATACTTTAACTTCGCTCAGTGCAGATCATCTCTGTTGTCATGTGATCCGCTGCTATGGGCTTTTTGAAGAATCAGATGCTAAAGTGCAGTTTTTGTGTTTTGTTCACTGAGTTTACAGTTTATGAGCTTTTCTTCTGAAAAGACCTATCTGCGTGACAGTTGGGATTAGATTTGAACCTCAGCTCACACTATTCATTTGTGAATGATGTTGGCTAAAGTGTTATCATGTGATCTAACTGGAGCGTTGGAGCATAACGTGGCTGTATATTATGAGCATGGGGTCCTGACCCCTCGATCTGAACAACAAGGTTTATTAGATGGAAGACAATAAGTTGAAGCTAAAAGCTCAAAGCAGCAGAAACATAGTTGGTAAAAATCAGACCAAGGAACAATAAAACAAAATGTGATCAAAGGTTTGGTTCCAAATGTAGGTTCTTAAAAGATAATAATACCTGGTGCTACATTTAGTTTTCAATGCAAAGCTCTGGTCAGAAGCTGGTGTGGAGTCAATTCCATACAAAAAAACAGCAACCTGTTTGGCAAGAAATGAACAAACAAGAAGTTTAAAGCAAAGTGTTAAGTCAATAAAGGTCAAAAAAGTCATAAAGCATTTAACAGAGTGAATCTATTTCAGCTGAAAGGACAGAGTCTCGCACTAGTAGATAGTACCAAGGTCTGACAACATACAGCAGAAAATACAAACACTTTATACACTACAGAAGGAGGGAAGGGGAAGGTCCTCAGCAAGCGAATGTACAGATGGTTGAAACTTGCATACAGCTATGCAATATACATTACAGGAAAACATTTGGCCAGACGGTTTAACTCACATACATGTTCATCACAAACCAATGGTTGTAGAGATAGTCTTTTGTCTGTTCTAAGGAAGTGGACATTAGAGGCTAGATGTGAATTCAAACCGTGGGAAAAAAACAGAGAATGAAGTTACAGTAATACTTATGATTAAATTAGATTTAATGATACATTTCAGCTGGAGTTCCACACATTCCATATCCTGAGCTGACAACGCAGTCATAAGATACATAGAGTCCCTGGATGAGGGCTTATTATTTGTCTGTTTCTAAACTAGTATATTTTGTAGCCGGGAACAGTCTGAAAGGAAAGACAGAGGAAAGAGAGACTGGCTGTGTGATCGGTGTGTGACTGTTTAGTGTGTGTGTACGTCACCCTGCTTTGGATGTAGGACTCTTGTTTCTGGAGGCGAGTGAAAGCCTCCTCTGTCATTCTCATTCAATTAGCTGACAATCCACTGGACACGGACAGAGACACAGAGTGGGAAACATTTCAGAACACCCGCCCCTGGCAACAAAGGCTCGCTGTTTTCTAAAGGCTAAATGCCTTTGCTTGCACACACACACACACACACACACACACACACACACACACACACACACACACACACACACACACACACACACACACACACACACACACACACTTGAGATGGGTGAATGTGCATGTTGCCATCCCAGCTGAAAGCTATTTCTTAACCAGATGGCACTCAGAGAACGCAGACACTCGCCACCGCCGTTTCCATTAGTGACAAATAATTGGTGTGTTTGCTCCTTGATTCAGATGCACTCTATAATATAATGGTGGAGGTTATGAATGATTTCTGACTCTGAATTCTTCAGCGCTACTGTTTCAGTCAGGAAGGATTCCAGGATTCAGAGGTTTGAACAACCAGCAGCATTGGCAGAGATAAGGAGCTCAAAACACTGCTGGATCTGCTGCTGGAGCTTCCAGCTGGGTGTAGCACATCATATCTCTATTCTTTCCTCAGAAAGTCATTCAACTGATCGGTCATTTTTAGGCCGTTCCTTTTTGCTACATAGTGCAGGCTTCATGTTTGCCCTTCAAAATGTCCTCTTCAGTCATGAGACATGTTCTCTCCTGTCTCCTGTCCTTCAAAAGAGAATCTAATCAGAGCAGCACACCTGCTGGAGCTGCTGCCACATGTCTTTAAATGACTATTATTCATTAATGAAAGGTCTAATAAACCATAACTTCCATTCAATACTGCAGCTCCCTTACCTAATATAAATCATTTGAATGTAACCCCCTTTAAGAGCTAAGTACTACTTTTAATGAGTTAACTTGTCTTAAGTGCTTTTGCCTTAGTGAAGTGTGTGAGTATCCAGTGCTCTACACAGTCTATTTAAATACATGGCATTGAGTGCTCTGATATCCAGCACAGCAAAGAACATCTTTTAGTCAAAGTATGCCATTGAATCCTTGAAACCCTCAGAACTAAAGTGTCTGCTTCCTGTTTTAAGTTATTCATCATACCAATAGCTTCACGGGACTAAAAGCTGCTGAGTCGGCTGAAGTACAGCAGAGGAGAGGATCAGAGCTGTCAGAGTGGAGAGGGTCTGCCAATGCATTTCATAATGCACATGGTTGCCATGACAATGACGCTCCATCTGGCTCTGCACCTCTAATGAAATGACTATACTTTAGTACAGTATGGTAACTATGCACCAGTGGTCACAAACGGTACTTTATGATGGATAGATGCTCGCAGGAGGAGGAATGCAAACAGTAAGAGGATGAGAGGATGTTGGAAGCTGGCTAGCTGAATTGTGGTGCAGCGCATTCTGCCAGACAGTATACAACCTGCTTTCAAATACACCTGTACTTCTTTAAGATTTTAACCCAAATTTGATATTTTCTGGATATATTTAACCAAAAACGTCATTGTATATCTGTCGTGAATATAGTGTTATAGTAGTGTCTGTTTTACATTTGTCATCTCACTCAAGAGAAGAACCGAACTGAGTTGAGAGATTTGTAAAATCGTTCTGGACCCTGGGAATTTAATATTGACAAAACAGTATTTGTTAATGGAGATGGATATCTTTATCTGACTGCTGGAAGAACTCACAGACACCACACACATATACACACACACCACACACACACACACACCACACAAACACACACACACACACAAGCTCAGTTTTTGTTATGCTCAGCTAAAGTTAGATAGCTATTACTACATCCCCCTGCTGCCTAAATGTGTCACTTGGCTGAATATTGATTAGTAATACCTCTGTTGGCAGGTGTATCAGTGTGTATCAGTGTGTATCAGTGTGTATCAGTGTGTATCAGTGTGTATCAGTGTGTATTAGTGTGTATCAGTGTGTATCAGTGTGTATCAGTGTGTATCAGTGTGTATCAGTGTGTATCAGTGTGTATCAGTGTGTATCAGTGTGTATCAGTGTGGATCAGTGTGTATCAGTGTGGATCAGTGTGTGCGTTAATATCACTTTGGTTTTCTAAGTCTGCTTTAAATGTATTGCTGTCATTTGCCCCATTGAAAATGACAGCACACGACCACTAAAGCCACGGCCCCCCTCTGAGCTCTAACTAGACCTGCTGCATGGTGTTCTTTTATAATCTGGAGGTCCAATGTGTGACTGACCCTCTCTCTCTCTCTGTCTCCATGTCTCTCGCCCTGTGGCAGGCCGGCTGCTAAGGCGTCCTCAGATCAGGGCAGTGACCAGAAGGAGCGTCCCATGAGCACCATGAGCGAGGCCTCCAACTACACGGGGGGGTCCGACTACAGCACCTTCCCTGGCAGCCCGCCCACCCACGCCCCCAGCACCACCCTCAGCTCCAGCTCGTCCACACGGGTCGGTCTCCATCAGGTCTTAGAGCTCTGCTGAGCAGTTTTACCACAGCTCTCCATCATGGCTAATGTAATATTACATTAGTCAAGCAGTCAGCAGACAAAGAGGGGTTATTAAAGAGGACAGCTTTTTTTTGTGGCATTAACATATTTCTCTTTAGAAAGCTGTCACTAAAGAACATGGGAAACATTTCCTCAGAAACATCAGCATGGCTAGCTCACTGGAACAATGAGAAGACAACTTTGATACTCAGCATAAAAGACCGCTCTGCTACCATATGATTATGCAAAATAAGGAACTGTTTTTCTACATTCTTAGCCTACTTGTAAGAGAAGGAATGATTACAAGGGAATGTTTCAGTGATTCTAAGCAACATTAGACTGCTGTGCCTCCCTCTCTTTCAGGGAATAGAGTGGGAGTATAGAGTAGGCTAACCCAGCTGTGTTAGCAGCTAGCGGATCATCTACACAGGTCACTGCGCTCAGATTACAGCCTGTCCCTTCATAAATGCTGAGTCAGACTAACAGATAAACAGAACATTAACATGCATGGGTAGATCACAGCAGAGATTCTGCGGTTCCATGAATAAGTGATGCTTATACAAGGTTTCCCTTCTGCTCACACTGGCCAAAAGAAGAAGTTTCTCTGTGAGATCTTCCAGTTGTTGAATAGTTAAAATGTTTAAACATGGTGACTTTAACTAAAGCACAGGACAGGATGTGGATTTTTCACATAACCCATGACCCTTCCCTTACCATTTAAAGTCAGTTTGCTGTTATGTAACAGATATTACAAATGTGCCTCAAAGGTCTTTACATACAGATATTACAAATGTGCCTCAAAGGTCTTTACATACAGGAGGCCTGACCCCTCTTTTTAGACCACCCAGTTAAGTGGACTAACACTGTGCTAGACTCTGTCTCTAGTGCTAAAGTCATGAGAAAAAACTGCCTCCAATACATCACCACCAAACACTTTCACAATGTCACACTAATGAATACAAACATTATCTGTCAACATCTGGTCAATGGTTATAATGGTAATGTGATACTGTTTGTTTTCAATGTAGACTTAATCAAAGAACCCCTTGTATTGTTCTTCCATTGTCTGAGTTAAAGAGAGTTGTGCTGCATGTCTTAGTAAGTGAGCCTTGCTGTGTGTAATGAGCTGAGCACATCTGCCCTGCTGATGCTGTTCACAGCAGAGAGTCAGTTGTTCAACAGATCAGTCAGAGAAGATGATATTCTGGATTATTTTCTCTATCTCTAGAGTTCTCTGCAATGTTCTTACTGTAGGAGATGCAAGATGGAGAATTAGATTTAGAAGTGTCTTTTGTACAGCTCAATATACAGAATATGTACACATTCTCTACATGTATAACCCATTCATGTGTTTCAACAGCCCTCTAGGTCTTCCAAAAAAATCCACAACTTTGGAAAGAGGTCAAACTCCATCAAGAGGAACCCCAACGCCGCTGGGGTGAAGAGCAGCTGGCTTTACAAACAGGTGGAGCTTTTCTTTAAACATTATTGGATGTGTTTTACTCTTTGTTGGACTGTGCTGACAGAGAGAAGACAGGGGGGGGGGGGGCCGGGGGGCAGCCAGTATAATGCAAGGTGCACACTGAACATACAGGACATGAATCACTGAGAAAATGTAAGAAACATTTAAAGAAATGCACTTCACTTCATTTACTATTACTATATTGCCTTTTTTTCTTGGAAATCTATTATTCATTCAGGCCATCCTTTGCCGACCAAAAGTTTCATTAATCGTTTTATAATATATGTGTTCTTATACTATTTTTTAAATGTATTTATTAAAGTTCCATAAGAGTGTTTTTAACTCTTATGAATCTTTTCCCCATTATTAGTGCTGTAATACTTGATACAAGCGAGAAAGAGATTTGAAAAAGCACTGTAAAAAAAATATATAATATAACGTAGTATTCATTTCTTTAAAGGGGACCTATCATGCAAAATGCACTTTTGATGTCTTTATACATAAATATGTGTCCCCGGTGTCAGGGGACTCACAAAGTGTCAGAAAACAAAACCCTCTCTTTTTTCCTCCGTACCCAAATCTCTAAAAACGGGGGAACAACGGAGCTGATCCAGATTTGCCATCCGCTATGATGTCATATCGGATGGTGGACCCACTGCCCTATCAGAAACGTCGCTATCAGAAACAATGCCTCACGTTTTTTGGACGTAATATGGTCTTTGTTTACATTGGCAAGCATCGCTAACACTCAGAGCTAACTTGTACTGGAGAGAGTATGTGTAAAGAAGCAGGATATATAAAAAGGAACTCACCTTGTGGTAAACCTGAGAGAGAGAAAGCACTTGAGCTCCATACTGTTACAGAAATAATCCGTGATGTGGTTTTGAACATGATATAGCGTGTCATCACCCCAGCATTTATGGCGCATTTCCACCATGGCGCGGAGCGTGGTTTAAGCGTGCCGTGTCGTGCCGGGCCTGTTTTTGGTTGCGTTTCCACTATGCCTAGTTCCAGCCCGGGGGTACTTTTTCACCTCTTTTCTGGCCCGACAAAATCGTGGTTCTATTGGGGCCAACAAACAGGGCTGAGTCGGGCTGAGTTTGCTAAACTAGAGAGAGAATCGCTGGCAAGGGGGCTACAACTACAACAAGATTAACATATTTGACCGTGATTTAATTGTAATACACGTTTCAAAATTATGCCGAAGTAACAACATACTGATACCGGTTAGTAAAAACCATGAATTAATGCTTTGACAAGTCTGCAGACAGACGGCAGGTGAAAAACCTTTTAAAATGTGTGTTTTCTAAATGGAGATCTGCTAAGCTAACGCAATATATGCTCCGACCGTCCACACTCACAACAACGGCCTATACAAACATAAATAAAGCAGCGACTGTATTCACCATGACACAGGCAGTCTGTGGTTTGTACTTGTTTAACTTTTGCCTAGTTTCTGAACAGATATGAGGAGCTGTGAGTTTGAGGGCTAACGGCTGTGTTGTTTTTCTGGGGTTCTCATTGAAGATGACGTCACGGCTCCGCCTACACTGCGTTACTATAGATACTACCCCAGTTCCTAAACTGTAATGGAAATGCACCATAAAGTGAGCCAGTCCTAATGAGGCCTAGCCATACCGAGCGAGGCCGAGCGAGGCCGTGTAGTGGAAATGCGCCATTAGACAGTATCTGCCGGGTCCCGCATGAGCAGGCATAAGCTCCGCCCCCTCTTTTTTCTTTTTTTTTCAATTTCTTTTTTTTTGTTTAAAGCTTTATACCCCGAATCAGCACTTTAGTAACTGGGCTGAAACGGAGGGTGATCTGTTTGGTATTTTCCTGGATATCTTATGTGGTTCGGTGACAGCCAGTGACAGCCAATTTAACTGTACTAAGTCTTATATCATACAGTACTTCACTAACCAGCTACCAAGCTAAATATGTTAACCAAACAGTTGTACAAGAGTAAGTGGAGCTGAGTGGAACCATGCAGCATAAATAATCCCTGCTTCAGGTTGAAGGAAAGTAAATGACATGGCAGACTGTAGTATGAGTTGGTCCTGACATGGCAGACTGTAGTATGAGTTGGTCCTGGGATGGCAGACTGTAGTATGAGTTGGTCCTGACATGGCAGACTGTAGTATGAGTTGGTCCTGGGATGGCAGACTGTAGTATGAGTTGGTCCTGACATGGCAGACTGTAGTATGAGTTGGTCCTGGGATGGCAGACTGTAGTATGAGTTGGTCCTGGGATGGCAGACTGTAGTATGAGTTGGTCCTGACATGGCAGACTGTAGTATGAGTTGGTCCTGACATGGCAGACTGTAGTATGAGTTGGTCCTGGGATGGCAGCTGCAGACAGAGACCTTCACAGCTGTGCTTTGGGGTCCAGCTGGAGTCCCTGTCAGTAACATCTGGCCCCTGAGCTGCTGCTCACTGTGCTCACATTCAGACCAAAATCAATTGACCTCACAGCAACACGGCTCTCTCCTCCACACAGACCTGTCAGCCAAAGTGCCCCCCCGCAGAAGAAATGTCATCAGTGTTTACCCACAGCTCCTTACCTCAGGGTCTGTGGCCCAATGCATCACTTTGCTAACAGTGAGCGAATGGCTAGAAAAATGTGGTATTGTCACTGCAGTCATTACGGCACCAGGGGGGTGAAAAAAGAGCACCACACAGCTGGACCTGTCAGTACGTTATGAACAGATAAAACAGAGCCATTAGTCTCAGCGCGGGGGGAGAGCTGGGTAATAGAGAAATAGAAGCAGCCAGAGGGAGAGACTGTGTGTGTGTGTGTGTGTGTGTGTGTGTGTGTGTGTGTGTGTGTGTGTGTGTGTGTGTGTGTGTGTGTGTGTGTGTGGTGTGTGTGTGTGTGTGTGTGTGTGTGTGTGTGTGTGTGCGTGTGTGTGCGTGTGTGTGTGTGTGTGTGTGTGTGTGTGTGCGCGCGTGCGCGTGTGAGAGAGAGGCTGGCTGTCTTGATGACTTCTCTGTGATCTCTGACCCCTGCAGGACAGCACAGGCATGAAGCTGTGGAAGAAGAGGTGGTTCGTTCTGTGTGACATGTGCCTCTTCTACTACCCGCGGTGAGGACACACACACACACACACACACACACACACACACACACACACACACGTGATGAAGGCTCTCAATTGAAATGGGTTCATTGTCAAATCCAAAGCAAGTTGTCCATGTTTTGTTTGAGTGTAATTTAACAAGGCACATATATTTAGAGGATCATACAACTCAATACCTTCTCATTTGAAACTCTTTATGACATGATAAACTAAGAGAAAATAGAGAATAAATAGGTAGGAAAACTTCATTAATTCAGATGAAGGATTAACTGTGTATTCAAACTGACAGATGGGATCTGCCCCAGTTGTTTGGTCCGTTCATATGCTGCAGTCATCACTTCCTGCATGTGCTTCACAGTAATACATCGTTATGCAAACCTTGAGAATTGTCAGTGGCATTTTATTTAGGGATGGGTATCGAGAAACGGTTCTAAATTCTTACTGAACTGCTCAGTACTGAATTACCGATAAGCAGCTGGACAAACGGAGCTGCTCACACATGTAACACAACATTTGTGTTACATTACAGTTCTGAATGTTGGGCTTCATCTCTCTTAATGCTCTGAATCATTCTGTGATACTGACAGAGCAGACCAGCAACCTGAAACCATTGCATGAAACCTGAATCAGTGCAGCGTGTTGGCCTGCTTTAACAAAGTGGCTGCTGATGTTAGTGTGACACCGCCGTACTCAGTGCAGCGTCCCCTTTCCGACAGAGGAGATTAACAGAGCTTTACTACAGAGGAGTGCAATTCCTTTAGATTTGTTCGGTAGCCAATAGTGACAAATAACTGTTATTGAATCCTATTCAATCTAATATCTTCATCTTAACACCAAATCATTGGGAGTAAATGGCCTCTGATTAAGGATTTGTTTCAAGTTAATGTTAGTGCTCTTAGACATCTTGTGGAAAAATGCTGTTCATCCCTCCTGCACACAGATGGAGAGAGAGCAACAACTTGTGATCACATGGTCACACCTGCTGTCCGTTTTCATTGTCACCAAAACATTATTTAAACCAGCAAAACCTATTTTAAATAAGTCAATTTTTCAAATATATATACAAATAACACAAAATAGTTGACATAATTCCTTTTATGAAGGATTGAATAATGATAAAATACACATCGGCTGATACAATATCTGCTATGCATGATTCTGAATGACCTCCCATTAAGATGCTTCCCTAAACAGGGAGGTTGAATGGGTGTTGTTAATCGGTTTGGTGAACATTCTGCTGGTGGTGTGGCAGCAGATATCATGTCCAGCCCTCTAGATGCTGTGTGTATCTGTGGATCAGCAGCAGTGGATCAGGGGTCAGCAGCCCTCTAGATGCTGTGTGTATCTGTGGATCAGCAGCAGTGGATCAGGGGTCAGCAGGTTAAGTGTCATTGCCAGTTCAAATTAGTCGACCTTGCTTTCGCTCACTTTTGCAAATCCAAAGCTACAGAACCACTTATTTAGAACTTTACATTTACAAAAGCTCCTATTTTCCTCTGCTGAGTCTCCTACGCCCTAGAGAGAGATTTTCCCATCTCCATAAATTGATAAATTAGCCGCAATCAGCTGCTGCGTTCATGACAAACCCAAGGGAGAATGGGATGTTTATTGGCTTAGCCAGGCAGAGCTGAGAGGAGAGGCGTCCTCGGGAAGGACAATGACCAACTCGGCTTTTCCATTATAAGTCCCTTTCTTTCTATCTTTCTCCTGCTTGCTCTATCAGGTTCTTCTAACTATCTCCTGTCACTCAGGTTGGGCCATGTTTGCAGAATTAAAGAGATGTTTTACCCAATTATTCTTTTATGAGCAGGGCAAAAAAGCCTGACAAAGACGAATTAAAAAGTGCATTAACATGTCACGTCATTTCAATGTGTCCGACTTGATCTGCTGTGGCTCAGGAGGAAGAGCGAGTCATCCTCTCATCAAGACTCCACATGTGGAGGTGTCCAACACACTGCTCCAGATGTGCTGGCCAGTGCTTTGTTTGGTCGATACCCTGGCTGCTGTGTGAATGAGTACATTCAAAAGCACTGTCCATTAAGGGATAACAAGTGCATATAAATGTAGAACATTTATTAGAGATACTTTGTGAGCCCTCAAATGCAAATCAGTTCTCCTGTTAATGTCTCGTTTCAAACCATGTTGTTTGTTATACAGGAAAAGAGTTACTTAAGATGTGCAATCATTACAATTGATTTACAGCTGGTTTTTGTTATGTACGTAAAAGAGTTATAACAATACAATACAACAACACTGTAAGAAGACAACAAGATAAAGTGGGACGGACATCACATTAAGAGGACCATAAGGAGATGGCCAAAAGAAAAACGTAATTTGGTAATCTGGCTGTTAGGAACTGTAATTGATAATAATTACCCGTTTTTATAACTTTTTTCGAAATCAAAGTATTTTGAAAGTTCCTCAAACCTAAGAGAACCTTACCTGGAAAGTGAAAATGGGAAAAAGCGTTCTCCCACACAGTGGATACCTACATCCCTCTGCATGGGAGCCCACTCCCTCTCTTTCTCGGCTGTTTCCTGTGTGTGTTCTGTACAGTCTCAATAATTCAGCAGCAGAGTGTGTGTGTCTGCATCGTGCTTCAGTGTGAGCCTGGGAGCTCACAGCACAGCACGCAGAGGCCATAGCACAACCACAGCATTACCATCCCCACAGAGTGTGTGTGTGTGTGTGTGTGTGTGTGTGTGTGTGTGTGTGTGTGTGTGTGGTGTGTGTGTGTGTGTGGTGTGTGTGTGTGTGTGTGTGTGTGTGTGTGTGTGTGTGTGTGTGTGTGTGTGTGTGTGTGTGTGTGTGTGTGTGTGTGTGTGTGTGTGTGTGTGTGTGTGTGTGTGTGTGTGTGTGTGTGTGTGTGTGTGTGTGTGTGGCGTGCGTGCGTGCGTGTCTCACCATTTTTGTATATTAACAATAGCTAAAGTTGTAGCTGAGCAGGTTCTAGGAGGTGAAATCCAACCACTGGTTGCTTCTGGTGAATTGTCACAAAGCTGATATTTTTATAAAGCCAAGCTAATAGTGTCAATCTTTACTTTACCAAATTTATTTTTAAATAATCAAAATAATAGTCATACCTAATAACTAGCTATTTTCTTTGTATTCAAAGTAGGGCTGCACGATTTGGGGAAATAATCTAATTGCGATTTTTCTGACAGATATTGCGATTGCGATTCGATTTGCAATATTTGTTTTTAAGCGACCCAACGGAAGTTTATTGTAAAATGCGGCCGTATCTCCGGCTAGGAAGGTCGTATCAACGTGCACCCGTCTCTAGCACCCCCGCAGCCAGAGCTACGAGTGAAAGAACTAAACTTACATGAAACTTCCGTTGGGTTGCTTTAAAGTCAAGCTTCAGTTTAAGATTCACCCTGTAATAGAAACATGTGATGGAGCATCACTAACCTGACTCAGATGCTTTGTTTCACCAAACCATCTAGGAAAGCTCCATTGGAAGCCATTTGGAAAGGGCAGGCACTTTCAAAAATACTTGGCAGGTGATTGGATCAATCTGTCTATCACCTTCTATCATGGGCCACTTCTGATTGGTGAACAATGGCTGGTACATGTGGAGCACAGCACTTCTGATTGGTGTGGATGACTGACACACAAGAAAAGAAAAAAAAAAGGCTTTGCGATTTGATAATCGCATCATTTCAAATCGCGATTTCGATTTAAAATCGATTAATCGTTCAGCCCTAATTCAAAGTCACTTTCACAAACAAATATGCAGGAGAAAGACACGTATATATAAGCACGTTTTCTAGAGCTGGGTCTTGAGGGCTTGTTTGACGGATGGTAGGCCGGTTGACTGTCTGTCTGTTGACCTATAATGGTCATCTAGTGTCATCTCTAGGTGGACTGAAAGATAACAAACATATCGACCTCAGAACTCTGCTCATTCAGCTCCACTGGTATATCTAGGAAACCCCACGCTCTGATTGGCTGATTGGCTCTGATTGACACGCTTTGATTTACCGGTCCAACACCTTACTTATTCTACAGCCTTGGTTCTGGTAAATCCTTATTGAGTGTATGTCTGCAGTTAGTTTAGTGTAGGTTAATGCAGCTTTAAATGCAAATGTTCTCTGATTTGTTGACAAGCTTCTATTCTTCTTTTTTCTCTGGTGCAGATGACAAAGAGGATAACATTCTGGGAAGTATCCTGCTGCCAAGCTTCCACGTGTCCATGTTGTCGGTGGATGATCACATCAGCAGGAAATACGCCTTCAAGGTAAAACACAAGAGACGCTGCAGCCAAACAGGGTTAATCAGTGGTGATGATGATGATGATGATGATGATGATGATGATGATGTTTTTAATCTCAATGTGACTTCCTAGTTAAGTGAAGGCAATATCTGATATATAAATGTTTGTTTCCGTAATCAAGGTTTACTTCTGGTTTTCAGGAACCTTTACTACAGATATTGTTTTAGAGGGAGAGTTCTTGCAGTTTGGAAATCGATGTATGTGTTGTTTTTGTGAGATGAGAGGACAGGAGTTGATCAGTGTTAAACAGAGACTTGGACTGAGCAGATGGTACGCCAAAGACACTTGTAGCAGGGAGTCAGCTCTTACGGCTTTGAAAGTGAAAGAAATACATATAAACAGAACTAGTGAGTGTTGTCCGGCCAGGTGGGAAAACCCAAAGTCCATATCGCCACACTGGGTGGTGGAGGGAAAAGCCAACCTATAACGATAGGCACATTGTTGTTTAACATGGGGATGGAATGCATTTTCAGACAATCATAGTGATGCATTTAGTTGTTTGGATAAAAAGTCATGGCACATTTTCCAAAATGTTTCTTTAACACACACACAGCACACACACAGCACACACACAGCACACACACAGCACACACACAGCACACACAGCACACACACAGCACACACACAGCACACACACAGCACCATCTCCTCTCTGTGCAGTCTACCTCTGCCAGGTAACACACAGGAGCCTTGTGTTGAAAGGTGCTATATAAATAAACTTGCCTTGCCTTGCCTTAACACTCTCACACTAAAGGCCCTGACACACCAAGCCGATTTCGGCCGTCGATAGATGTTTGGCCGTCGATGAGCGTCCTGTCGCCCTACACAGATTGGTGTGTCCCGCACCGTTGTGTCTTTTCGGGCCGTGCCGACACCTTCCGCTGCCGATTCACCTTGTTGAATCGGGAGGCTGTCGGCAAAAGAAATCACTCTGATTGGCTGTTCAGCTTAGCAAATCAGTGCTTGAGAAGCGAAACGGAAGTGAAGAAGGCACACACAGACGGCTATTATTTTTCATTTTCCAGTACCGCACTAAACATGTTTTCGATTATAAGTCGTTATGTGAAACAGTCTGTGATGGACGAGAGTGAAAATGGAACGCACGCTATTTGTTGTTTGTATATATCACGCAGTCTGTCTTCCAGTTGCCTCTTTTGAATGACGAATACACACTACCGCCGCCTGCTGGTAAGGAGAGTTATTGCCACTCACGCATGCGCAGTGCGTACGTGCTACTTGGCCGTCGGCTGAAGTCTTTGCGGTGTGTTTCAGTGCGACTTTTTAGCCAAGACGTAGGAGACATGAGGCGACACAACAATCGGGTCCTTCGGGACGTGTTCTTTGGTGTCAACTTGGTGTGTCAGGGCCTTTAAGCAGAAATACACAGAAAGAAACAGACTACTCACACGCACACACATATATACAGACACATGCACACACAGTCACACACTCACCTACACACACGCACTCCTCAACAGGAATGATTTAGACTGGTTGCTGGCATCTCAAGGTCACCTCACACTGTTTTATCTCATCCTCTCTGTGTTCTCGGTCTATCTGTGTCTGCTCTATTTATCTCACTCTCACTGTCGATATTCCCCCCCCCCCCCCGCCCCCACCCTGCCAGGCCACTCACCCCAACATGCGGACGTATTATTTCTGCACTGACACAGCCAAAGAGATGGAGTCGTGGATGAAAGTCATGACGGATGCTGCGCTGGTCCACAGTGAACCCGTCAGAAGGTGGGTCCTCCTCACACAGGGACATCCCACAGACAGATGTGATAGTTGTGAAATGATATCTGACACAGAGTCTTTTCTGCACATTAGAGCGCTGTGCTGTAATATGCATGAAGTGTGTTATCATATCTCTAGAGTCCTCCTAAATGCCTCTAAAAGGGCCTACTTAAGAGTTTCATGAAGACTGGAGACAGGGTTCCAACTAGGAGAAAGGCAAGGTTGTTGTCATGGTGATATCGTGATTCTTAAAGGAGCTTTATATATTTATATATTTACAACCAGCGTGTTCCCCTTTAATCAGATCCAATGAGCGACAGAAACATCATTTAAAAAGGGAAAATAACTGAAGCTCATATTTTGTAACATTGTACAAAAATGAACTGCTGAGATCTGGGAACATGCAACACCTCTGAGAGAGAAGTGCAGGTAAAGGGTGTGCGCATCATTATTTTCTATGGTAGGGTTATCATTATCCAAGGTTTACCAAAAAGAGAGGGGATGACATGCAGCAAAAGGCTAACAATTGTTAAATTGTCAGACTTTTGTCTTCTTTTTTCTAGAAAACACTGTAATGAGGAAGGCAGATTTATATGTGTTATGGTAATTGTCTCCTATCTACATCTACATATAGTGATTTAGATCAACTAAAAGATTTTGAAAGTTAGAAAATGTCCAATATAACGTTTATTCTGTTTCCGCTAAATATCTTACTGAGGGAAAAGCTCTCAAGCGTAAAGTCTAGGATGTGTTCATGAAGTTATTCCAAAGCAATCACCCATATTTGTTTACCGTCACTAACCCAACGCCCAGTGGAACCTGACTGTCCAGACCGGCACTGTCACTGAGTTCCAACAGAGATCAGAGGAGAAAGACAGGAAGTGAGACAGAGACTGAGGGTCTGTCAGACGCTGAAGTCTGACATCACTTAGAAAACGTTACTCTGTCCGTCACTCTTTGTCACATTCATCTCTCTCTTTGCTACTAGGCTGGACAAGCTGAAAGTAGATCAGCGAACCCCTCAGGAGTTGAACAACCTTCTCAACCACAGAGTCCTGACCCGGCCTGAGATCCAGAACAACGAGCGGAACCGCGAGCCTGTGAGACAACACTCTCTATCTCAAGCAGACGACAAACGCCAAAAAGACCTAGAGAAACCCAACGGCCAGAGGGAGTACTACACCTTACAGAGAGAAGGAGAGAGGTACTCTCTGAAGAAAGACGGTATGAGCTACATGCTCGAGAAAGACGGAGAGAGGTATTTCCTCCAGAAGGATGGAGAGAAGTACATGCTGCGAAAAGACGGGGAGAAATTCTTGTTGCAGAAAGATGGAGAGGTGTGTGCAATCCACAAAGACCTGGAGAAGTATGCTGTTCAAGACGTGGATGTAAGGTGCACTGTGAAGGAGGAGAAATACGCTCCGTGTAAAGATGCAGAGAAGTACCTGCTCACCAAGGAGAGAGAAAAATACGCTCTGCAAAAACTAGGCGACCGACACACACTCCAGAAAGATGGACATAAATATGTTCCCCAGAAGGAAGTTAGGAGACAGCTGTCCTTAAAGGAGACAGGGAGGTACGGCATGATGAGGGAGATGGAGAACAAATATGGCACCATACAAGTTGTGGACAAATACGGCACCCTGAAAGAAGTGAAGAAATACAGTACACTGCGAGAGGGGGATAGATATGCTACTCTGAGAGATGCGGGGAAGTATGCTACGGTGCGTGGGGGGGATAGGTATGGCTTCCAGAGAGACCCCAGTGCAGAGAGGGCTCTGACTAAGATCAGCAGCCTCCAGCTGCAGCCGGCCCAGGCGGCCGCCATCGCAGCGGCCGTGTCCGCGTCCCGCCAGAGCCACGCCCACCTCAGTGTCCACGGCCCCCCACAGCCCAACGGCCCGGGGCCCGCAGCGGCGGGGCACCCTGGGGACTGCAGCCCCTTAGAGGGGGACAGCAGCCTGGCCATGGCTCCAGGAATGTCCCCTGTTCCAGTCCAGGAGCCGGAGCGGGGCCTGTCCAGAACCAACTCCATGCAGCAGCTGGAATACTGGGTCCGCACGCAGAAGACCAGAGGACTGGACGAAGACACCAGGAGGTGAGTGGGTCCTCATTGCTCTGTTGTTTTTTAAACCATTTGCTTTTTTGCAAAGTCTTCTGTGTACTTTCTCTTTCAAAACATGTTCAAAGTCTCTATGTTCTGTGTCTTCAAATGTAACCCCAGCTATCAGAACTCAGGATTAGAACAGGCCAGTTAACCATCTTTGTTCCTTGTCTTATGTTCTGTTTGAGAGGCCAGGTTATTTGATCAGTCAGCACTGAGCGCTGTTAGCCATCATCAGCTGTGATGTCAGTTGTCAGCTGACACAGAAGCTGCAGAGCCTCCTGCCTGAAACGGTTCACATGATGCTTTTCACAAAAGCCGCTGAAATATATTTGAAATGAAACTGCAATTAGCATTTTGAAAGAAGAAACAAAATACACATCTGCTCTTTAGCAGCTGAATGCTCTGATATGTAGAGCAGATAATGTAGGGCCCTGAACAATGGATATAAGCTCCTGTCAAGCTCTCTCCATTTAAAAACAATGTGAATTGAAGTGATGATGTGAGAAGATGACCTGTATAGTTAAGAACAGTAAGGTCACAGTAGTGCACCTTCAGCCATCAGGCTTCAAGGGTATTGTCTCGTCCTTCATCTCGTTACCAACATAACAAAGGAGTAGTGCAGCCCGCCTCTGTTTGATTTCATGACTGCTCAGTGCAGGTGTGACGTTGAGGAGTGGTCTAACTCTGAGCCTTAATGCCATTTGAAAAACGTTAGAAAAACATCAAGTGAACTCTGTTTGACTCAGTGTGACAGCAGTGCTGCTCTGAGCTCCACACAACTGAACAACACATCAGTTTTCAGCTCACCACACCTGCAGCATCAACCACCACCCTTTATTGTTAATATGCACTGCCTGTCTTACAACACCTGAGAGCTGTCCTCCTCAACAACATGTGAGACCTTTCTTCAGCGTGTCCTTCTTGTTCCCTGTGTTTCTCCTCCGCCCTGACCTTCAGAGGGAGTGAAACCTCTTTGAGGCGCCACAGATGTGTATCTCATCTTAGATAGCTGGTGTTTAGCTGGCGTTTAGTCGCTGTGTGGTGGAATGCAGCGGGACAGATGTACAGGGCGCCGAGGCTCCCCTCTCCTTCTGCTGTCATCAATTAGTCACTGAAATGAGCACAGCCACATTACCCTCTTTATCAGGGGGACAGAGAAGCTGTGGGGGGGGCGGTCTGTTAATGTTGTTAACACCACGCTCTGCCTCTGCTAGCAGCCATAGTATTTCATGAAGTATTGGAGTGCGTCTTTTTTAGGCTGTGCGTGGACCCAAACATCTACAGAAGACTTACAGGCAGTCTCTTTTCTAAATATTGAAATTGCTTTACTGTAATGGCAGAGTCATGTTAGAACAAAGGCCTTTTATTGTTTGAAAAGAGAACAACAATGTGAGTTCAGAATCTCTGGAGTTTCTATGAAGAAGGTTTTGCATCTAAATGAGTCATTCAGAATCAGAATACCTTTAGTCGTCCCACAGAGGGGAGAAAGAGCCAAAGACAGCTGAATGTTACTAACATGCAGTTATTAACGGCATATATATATTGCACATATAGCACATATTGTTATAGTCTGTGTTGTTGTGTGTGTGGGGGGGGGGGGGGGTCTACTAGGGGCCGCGCTGGTTATAGTATAGTCTGCAGGAAGGATGGACGGTATATCTCCGTTAGACAGCGGGGGGGGGGGCAGCAGCCTGTCACTGAAGGAGCTGCACAGTGCAGACAGGGTGTCCTGGAGGGGGGGGACACATTGTCCAGCAGGGAGGACATTCTCCTGTCTCCCACCCTCTCCACAGTGTCCAGAGGACTCCTGTCTCCCACCCTCTCCACAGTGTCCAGAGGACTCCTGTCTCCCACCCCCTCCACAGTGTCCAGAGGACTCCTGTCTCCCACCCCCTCCACAGTGTCCAGAGGACTCCCCAGGACAGAGCTTCCTTACCAGTCTGTTCAGTCCCTTCCTGTCAGCAGACGAGATGCTGCTGCCCCAGCAGGCCACACCATAGAAAATGGCTGATGCCACAACAGAGTCATAAAATGTCTGAAGGAGTGCCCCCTGCACCCCGAAAGACCTCAGTCTCCTCAGCAGATAGAGGCTGCTCTGTCCCTTATTGTACAGAGCAGCAGAATGATCAGTCCAGTCCAGTTTATTGTTCAGATGAACACCCAGGTGTTTGTAGGATTTTCCCAATGGGAGGTTGCGGAGGGAGAAGGAACAGGAGCTGGTGTGAGAGGTGTCTTGCCCCTTTTCCACCAAACCGGATCCGGTGAACCGTTCTCTTGCTTTTCTGGTGCTGAACTGGTTCTTCTCTGTAGCACCACTTGTGTTTCCACCGCTCATAGCCCGACTGGTGCTGCCGCTGCTGCGTCATAATGTCACCGTTTACGTCGGTTTACGTTTCTCCCAAACGCCACTCACACAACAACAACGGGGGACTGCGTCTGGTCGATGATCGTGTTGCTTTTGATCATTCGAAGCCAGATTAAATTAAATAACTACTTCTCAACCCTTGTACTTTTCTCCAGAGTGCCTTGGTTCATTGTTTATTAATGTGGTTCAGCGGCATTTACCAAATCTATTAAAGAAAATATTCAGGTCCTTTGCCCACTGACGGCCCCCCCCGGACCTGGGAGATGGTTTCCAGGCCTCTCCAGACTCCGCTGACGTTCCTCTGCAGCAGCTGTTCCTCCATCCTCTTCCTGTAGCTGTTCTTCCCCTCTCTGATTTTCCACCTCAGCTCCCTCTGTACAGTCTTCAGCTCCTCTCTAGTCTTCAGCTCCCTCTGTACAGTCTTCAGCTCCTCTCTGTTGCCAGATCTGAAGGCCCTCCCTTTGTCCTTCAGCAGAGCCTTTATTCCAGAGGTAATCCAGGGTTTGTTGTTGGGAAAACACCGTACAGTCCTGGTGGGTACGACGTTTTCCTCACAGAAGTTAATGTAACCCGTGATGCAGTCTGTAAGGCTGTGGATGTCCTCCTCGTGAGAGTCAGTGAACACATCCCACGCAGTAGTGTCAAAACAGTCTTTCATGGAAGAAACTCTTGCTAACTGTGATGTTCCTTTGCCAAATATTCCGTCAAACTCAGAGGGCACTTAGAGTCACTTTCTACATTTTGGTATCAAAGTGCATTGGTCCGTGTTGATGTCCCCTTCAAAGACAGGAGCACTGTCTCTATTGCCCCTTTCACACCAGTGCGGTTCCAGGGCCGGTTCGGAGCTTGAGCCTGATAAGCACCGGTGTTTCCTTGTTCTTACCAAGCTCGGAAAAATTGTCCGTCTAGAAGCAAGAACCGCATACGTCACGCTTACGTCGGAGGCGGGGGCAGGGGCGGGATCAACCTCCTGAACAACAACAAAAAGCCCACATTTTGTCCAGTTTGTAACAACGATGAGAATCAGTTTTAACGTTATACCATAGTCATTAATGCTGCAAAGCTAGGTATTTTGAGCTTGGCGCATGCAGAGGCTAACAACAGCTAGCTCTAACGCCATCGAATAGGACGTATTCGTCCTATTCGATGGCGCAGCACCACTCGGGCTCTGGGCGGTGTGAACAAAACGGGGGCTGAAAAGAAAAACCGGTTCCGAACCAGAAGAGCGCAAGCACGGAGCTAGAACGGGAGCTGCGTTGGTGTGAAAGGGGCAGATGACTCTTTGGAGCCAGCCTCAAGAAGCCGTTTAAAGAACTCCAGTCTGGGAGTTCCACTTTGAAGCCAATGGTTGTGGCAAGAGTTCAAAGAAAGAGTGTAATGCGAGAGGAGGTGTGTGGCGCAGTGGATGGTGCGTTGGTGTTGGGATCAGGGGAGCACAGGTTCAAACCCCACTGCATGTCGTTGTGTCCCTGGGCAAGACACTTTACCCCAAATTGCTCCTGTGGGGATTGTCCACAGTATTGAGTATGTAAGTCGCTTTGGATAAAAGCGTCTAAAGCTCCTTACACACCAAGCCGATTTTCCGCGTCGATAGATGTCAATAGATGTCGGGCCGTCGATGAGCGTCGTGTCGCCCTACTCAGATTGGTGTGTACTGCACCGTTGTGTCTTTTCGGCAGTGCCGACACCTTCCGCTGCCGATTCGACATGTTGAATCGGGAGGCTGTCGGCCAAAACCCGTCGGCCAAAGAAATCACTCTGATTGGCTGTTCAGCTTAGCGAAACGGAAGTGAGGGACCCAAACAAACTATTAAGAAGGCAAATCTGAGATTTCATTTAACTCCAGCTCTCGACACAGGTTCAGGAAAGCCCCATGAGCTTCTCGCTGTAGAGTGAACATGGAACACACACGCTATTTATTGTTTGTTTATATCACGCAGTCTGTTCTTCTTCTCTCGGTTATCACGCAGTCTGTCTTCCGGTTGTTGCCTCTTTTGAATGACAAATACACACTACACACACCGCCGCCTGCTGGTAAGGAGAGTTATTGCCACTCACACATGCGCAGTTCATACGTGCTTCTTGGCCGCCGGCTGAAGTCTTTGCGGTGTGTTCCAGTGCGACACATGGCCAAGACGCAGGAGACATGAGGCGACGCGTCCCGACGGTTCTTTGGTGTCAGTTTGGTGTGTAAGAGGCTTAACAAGTAACATGTAATGTAATGTAATGTAATGTAATGTAATGTAATGCTCTGTGTGTCAGGCTGACAGAGGGACAGAGGGACAGAGACCACAGGGGGTCCCAGGTCACTGTGTTCCTGGGTCAAAGTGAAAGTAAAACAGAGTTCTGTTAACAAAAGTAGTTTTATAATTAAATCCAGTCAAGCACACCATACATGTCAAAGCACGCACATACAGATCGCTAATCTGGTTCCTGTTCAGCACACCCTGATTAAAGCCATGATCCACTGCTGCTGATAACAGCGAGGTGTCAAGCCCTTATTCTTACTCAGTATTCTTTACTGTATAAGGGAAGGATAAGAAGTGTAGTAACCACATTACAATATATAAGTAATCTTAGATGTAAACCAACTCCCTGATCCAACCCTTGAGTATATGTTGTTCTGTAAGTTATCTTTATTGGTCAAACAGACATATTTTAAACCAATCTCGCCTCCGGCTTCAGAGACCAGATTTATGAATCACACTCTGGTTTAAACAATTACTCATCCATTCAGTTCACATTTATACATTTTCACAAAACAGTAAATTATTTCAGGTCAGAAAAAAAGACATAACATATTTGCTACCGTCTTTTGCTAATTTGCATCTGACTTTCTAATGACAGGAATATGGTCTGTATAATGTGGCTCTTACCACTGAATTTATTTTGTATAACTGCTTTATGTCATTGGGATTCATGAACTTAGGTTATGAAGTTGTAAATGTATTATACAAAATATATTTAAAACTTTGTACCATTCAGCCTCTTCTTTGAAGGGTTGGGTTGCGAGCCTAATGTATTGTTGCACACTTCAAACACCACGCTGTGTCTATGGTTTTTTAGCTTGAGGGGTTTGTGGTCAACAAGTTGAATTGTCCTTGAGTTGAAACAGATTTTGTGGCAGACTGAGGGTTACCACTCTACAGTTAACCCACCTGGAAATCCCACGATGGGTTTTCCCTGTTCCACCTGTCTGCTTTCCACACCGTTAGTTGTGGGAGCCTTTATTAAATCTACTTATTATTTTTTTTATCATAAAAACGTTCCTTTTAAAATGCAATACATTGCAAACGCTGATGCATCACATTTTCCATTTTCTTCCATTAGATGATGAATCAAAACACAAACAAATGACATGTATAACTGCCTTTATTGCCTTTTTTGAGTCAACACAGAATCCAGATACCTTGGATAAACCTGGCAAACTAACCTCCGACCCAATGATCACCCCTTGGCTGTGGTGGTTAGTGATGAGTAACTAACTACTCGTCTTCTTTCTGTACCAGTGTAACGTCCTACCAGACCTTACCGAGGAACATGCCCAGCCACCAGGCCCTGATGGTTCCGCGGTACCCAGAGGGGTACTGCACACTGCCCCGCAACAGCCTGGCCCGGCCCGACAGCATCTGCAGCGCGGCGGGCTCCATGTATGACCGGGCCCTCCGCCCCGCCTCCACCAGTACCGGCACCATGGTGGAGAGGAGGAGGTCCATGAGGGACGACACCATGTGGCAGCTGTACGAGTGGCAGCAGAGGCAGGCCTTCTCCAGGCAGAGTCTGGCTCTGCCAACAGGTACAGACCACTTCCTGTCCTCCAGGAAGACTAAGAAGGGGAATTGTCCAAATTAGCCTAGTTGGCTAACAAAGCTAAGTGTCTTCTAACACTGGTCTTATATGTACTTTAAGAATTATACTTTAACCTTTCTTTCAAATAGTTAGAGCTGTATAATCCACTTCATCCGTAAAAAGTGGATGAGTCAGTGTGTCTGTTCCTGTGGTTCCACTTTAGGTGTCAGACATAGAATGTGTCTTCACATTAGAAATGTTGCAAATCACGTCAGAGTTAAAAAAAAGGCTTGAGAAGGCATGATTTCCGGATAACGGACCCTTAATTAGGAAATATTCTGTCATCCTTTGTTGTTATTATTATTTATTATTATTATATTTAGATTATTTGAAACTCTCTATTTTGAATCATAAACTTCTCCCCCCATTTGACTTCCTTCTCTCCTGGTGTTGCAGCGGGGGGGCATTACGGCACTCTGCCCAGCGCTAAGACCATGGGCAACATCTCGGAACACGTGGCACACTCCATCCCCCCCTCACCCTCTCACGGCTCCCTGGCTCTCTACAGCACCCTCCCTCCCCCTCGCCAGCGGGCCCCCCACAACCCCAGCAGCTCCCACTCCGAGGTGTCCTCGCCCGTCTTCAGGAGGGAGACCCCTAACCCCTGGCACAGGACCCTCCCTGCAAAGGTACATTGGCACTGTGGTTTGACTCAAAGATGAGAGTGAAACTCCAGTCAAAAACAGCACTACCAAGAGATTTATGAAAGTAAAAAAGGGTTGCATAGCAGGCCGATGTAAAGTGGAACATTAAGTAGACATTATTTAAGAACAGCATTATAGGATACATTTTTCTAGATAATTAAAACTAATGAAAATATTACAGTTGGAGTGTCGGGGCACTGGAGAAGCTGCCTGCTTTTTGCTGTCTGTTCTTTTTTACGGGTAAAATGAAATATAAGATTGAATGGCTTTATGAGGGCTTTTTATTTTACTTTTCTGGTTTAACAATGTTCTATATAATATAATAATAATAATATAATAAATCTTATCCTCCAGTCACATCATATAATAATAATAATAATAATAATAATAATTCATTACATTTTTTATTAGAGTGCTTTTTCAAGTTACATATTACACATATTGGACATGTACAGTAAGAGTGATATGAAATGTAAAGGAAGTTCAGACACAGTGGACTCTGGGCCTGCTACTCCCCTGCATGATGCAGTATGGCAGGTGCTGCATCACAAAAACACATGGCATAATATCTACTCCTTCGTCCAGTGTGCAACAAATCTCATCATGTGAACGTGGTTTGGTTCTACTCTATGTGCTAGCTAGTTCTCCCTCAGTTAGCTATCCCCTCGGATCACCTGGGGGCCGCTGAGGGGGGCTGAGGCTCAGGACAGCAGTGAGAAGTAATGCATGAACAGCAATATCATAAGTGGAGTCATACGGGGATTCTTCATTTTTCTCGTTTGAAACTAATTGTACTTAATGAAGATCCCCTTACTGAAATGAATCCCAGAATAACTTCTACTGTCCACTCCTTTCTCATCCCTCCCCCCAACAGCACGGCTACACAGTTGACCGGCGGTCCATAGCAGGGGGCGTCCCTCCCCCGTCCTTCACCCCTCAGTCCCTGCAGGGCAAGACGGTAAGTGCCCCCCCCCCCGACACTGAACACTGTGAGATATAACCCTTGATTTCAGTGAACTCACGTCTATCTCACTGATGTTGTTCCCAGCAGACTCTTACTGCTTCTATTTTCTCTTTTGTCTCAGCTGGACAAATGTAATTATTGACAATACAGTTGTCTCTAATGACAGTGCTCACAAGCAATGCAGTGCTACGAGTCAAATTACAGTTGCTTTTAAATTGGAGCAACAGCTATCAAGGATGAGGACTGTATCTCAGTTTGAAGCAGACTGTGTGATAATGTGCCTGCAGTTTGATGGAAAACGTTTGTCCAGTCATTTTCCACATGTCTTTGTTTTGTCCAGAGCGGGTAACAGGGGCGCCCTCTTACTGAAATGCAGAATTCCCCCGTAAAATGTTAAAGTGATGCCAGAAAACGATATTTCTGCTCGTCAAAAACGGCATAATGACTCCAGAAATATGAAGGTGGTGTCGAATAGAGCGTCAGACGGCAGAGACAGCTTTGATTTCACGGAGCTCCGATGTCAAGTTGTTGTTTCCGCTGCGGCGCCATCTTGTATAGTATACGGGCGACATGTTCCCGAGAGACTAAAGTGCCATCACTTATAATAAACTGCATCCAGATCTAAAAGAGCTTGAATACATCATCTCATAATAAGGAATTCATTGTTCTTAAATGACACATGATCAGTGGTTGCCGTAGCAGATCCCTGCATCATGGTGATGATGTCAGTGAGGCAGCTCTTCTTCTCTGTGTGTTGCTGTGGCAGCCCGAGGAGCTGACGCTGCTCCTGATCAAGCTGCGCCGGCAGCAGGCGGAGCTCAGCAGCCTGCGGGAGCACACAGTGTCTCAGCTCATGGCCCTGGGTATGGAGGGGCCCAACGCTAAGGTCAGCACTGGGTGTATACAGAACTGTACGTGTGTGTGCATGCACGCATTTGTGCATTCCCAACAAGCTGTCAAATCCAAATCCTGTGTGTATTTGCAAGGCAAGGTTCTTTGTGTGAGACTATTCAATCTGACTCCGAATGAAATTGCTTTGGTGTGTTCATCCGCGAGCCAAAGACTGCACTGGTCCACTTCTTATGTCCAGACAGAAATAACTCAACAACTGTTCGATTGTCAAGTATAGACATTGATAATCCGCAGAGTAGAACTGATCTATCACTATCTGCAGTTCCCACTTATCCAGTCCAATAGCTTGACATGTACATGGGCACAAAATATGGTTCAGATATTTATAGTTCCTAGGTGACGTGCATCTACTGTATGTTGGTTGAGGAACAAGACACTACTCACTGCAACTTGTGTAAGTATCAACTGTATCTCCGACCCAGGTCACCAGTGCAGTAACAAGTAACCATAGCAACAGTGCAGTGAAACTGGAATTTTCTCTTTGGTGCCAGAAGATCTTCTTTAACACTTCACACAGAGACAGGTTTACTTTAGACGTCAGATTACAGTTTGACCAGCTGCAGGTGTTGTTGTGTTTGGTAAATACTAAAGTCTTTCACTTGGCTCGATGAACACCCCGAACTCAATTTCTTCCTGGAGTTTCTTTCTTGTTTTATTGTACATTCTGGTTGGAGGGTTTCATTTTGTTGGGCATTTTGTGGATTGGTGTGTTTATTTATGGGCTTTCTTTTGCATCTGTGTGTGGGAGAGTGTTTGAGCATGTGTATTTCTGTATGGGGACACTGCTCCTGTCCACGCATGCCCCCCCCCCCAGGCTCCTGTGCTGATGCATCAGACAACATGCAGACTTGCATGTAGTCATGTTTCTTTGGTTGACCGGACCTTTTTGATTCACATTTCTGGTAACACTTCAAACATTTGCATGTGTTTAGACCTAGCCAATGAAATGCTTGTGATTTGTTATTGTGATATGAGACTACATTCTGTATTAACTGGGATTTTGGATATGGTAATGTGGTGATAGTGTTAAGATGTGGTTTGTTTCCCTTGTCTTGAAGGCTGCATACCTGTAAAGTCATGTATGTTGTTAACTAACTGGACTGCAGCACCTGTGGACAGAGACTCATTCTATTCTCTATCACATCATAGCCACATTAGTCCTGGGTTTTTATTGGCTATAAATATCTGCTGAAAGTATTGGACAGCCCTCCATGCGTGTGTTATGAACAAAATACTTTTGTAGGAGCAGAGAACCCAGCTGCCTCATCATCATCGCTGCATCACCCTTCTGATTCTACTTCTCTTGCTTCATGATAATCAACCCGTCCACTAGTTTTGTAGTCGAGACCACCTCATCCGAGACCAAGACATTACCAAGACCGGAGAGTAGCAGGACCAAGACAAGACCAAGACTTTAAGAGGTCGAGACCAAGTCAAGACCAAGACTTTAAGAGGTCAAGACCAAGTCAAGACCAAGACTTTAAGAGGTCGAGACCAAGTCAAGATCAAGACCAAGGCAGGGCGAGACCGAGTCAAGACCGGAACCAGACTACTATGAATCCAACACTACATGATACACTTACAATATCATGTGTAACATCATAATATGCATTTTACGGTATATAGGTCTAGGCAACAAACAAAAATCAAACCAACCAGGAACCACTTTTGTAGACAAACACACACAGGATGAAGGAAAACCCTTTAACACACACACACACATTCTCTCTCTCTCTCCCTCTCTCTCACACTCAGGAGTTTGCGTCACTGAAAGCTCGTAAGCCACACACACACACACACACACACACACACTTTGCAACATCTTCACTGCAAGACCGTTTGAGTGTGTGTGAACGGCGAGAGGTGGGGGGGTATCAGCCGGTATAGACCAGTGCCCTGTTTACAAACATTGCGGCGCATGAGGGCAAAGATTCAGAGTCATGTGAAGTCACGTTATTAGTTGAATTTTTTAAACAGGAAGTTTTACATCCAATCACATCCCCAGCAACAGCCGTGGTCTCGACCATGGATGTACAATAAGAACGGTCTCGACCGGTCTTGACATAACATCTCAAGACCTATAGGTCCGAGACCGAGACAAGACCGAGACCAAATGCGGTAGATTCCGAGATAAGACCAAGACCGTTAAATAGTGGTCTTGAGACCAAGACCGGTCTCGAGTACTACAACACTACCGTCCACTATTCACATCTAACATGACTTCTCTGTAGGATTCTGCTAAATCCAGTTTATTATTGAATGAGGTGTTTAACCGTTGAATGCCAACTTTTTTAAAACTCTTCCATTCTCCATCATCTGTGCATTACAACTACAGTCTGGTTATAGTTGGAGGAGGATTGTTGTTATGATAAATAAACTGTGGTTAAGTAGAGGCAGCTAAAACATGTTCCCTGGTATTACTTTCACTGAAAAGTGAATGACAGAAAATAAAATATGTAGCGTTGCCATGGTAATGACCCTCTGACATCACATGTTCTGCCTTCCCTTCTGATGCTATATGTCTTCCTTTTGAAAATGTGCCTTTGACTTCTTCTTCATCCTTTCCCTCCTTGTCCTGTCACTTCCTGCTTCCTCTCTTCTTCTTCTTCTTCTGCGCCTCCTGCAGACTGATGTTCTCTCTCATCACCTCCAGAGGAACCTTATTTACCTGGACAGCCAGGTGAGGACTTCTGGGCTTTCTCCTTTCTGTCTCCATCTACACTGAGTCTGAGATATGAAACATTTGTCTATGCAACATACATGCATGAACACTTACCATGACGTATTTACCAGGCTTCTACTGTATCTCCGTCTCTGGTTCTTGTTATCTTTCTCCTTTTTTGAAGGGGTACTAGAATCCTTTAATAGGAACACACTCTCCCCCAGTTAAATGAAGCTGTAGCTCAGAGGCTGGTGAGCCTGGGGCAGCAGGTTCCCTCTCTCTGACCGGTTTCTAGGCCTGGTGTGTTCTTTGTATTGGTTTAGGTCATTTAGGTCAAATAGAGGAACACACTAGTGTTTTTGATATTTTAGGCCTTTAGGATGTTTCAAACAAGCTAACCTGAGTGAGAACCATCTCTTATGCCCCTTTCACACCAACGCAGCTCCCGTTCTAGCTCCGTGCTTGCGCTCTTCTGGTTCGGAACCGGTTTTTCTTTTCAGCCCCCGTTTTGTTCACACCGCCCAGAGCCCGAGTGGTGCTGCCGCTGCTGCGTCATGACGTCACCGTTTACGTCGCTGATTTTCTCCCCAACGGCGCTCACAACAACAACAATGGGGGACTGCGTCGGGTCGATGATCGTGTTGCTTTTAATCATACGAAGCCAGATTAAATTAAATACTACTTCTCAAACCTTATACTTTTCTCCAGAGTGCCGTGGTTCATTGTTTATTAATGTGTTTCAGCGGCATTTACCGACCGCTGCAGTGCTGCTCGTCCACCGGAGTTTATGCTCCCGTTAACTCACTGGAAAGTATTCACTGTCTGACTGTCACACAAGCAGCTGATACATATCCCCAGTTCCCCTCAAGTGAATGTGTGTCAGTATGAATTGACGCTGTTTGGCATCACAACGCTGTTATGAAAGTTTCTCTGGTATAAAACAACCCAGTCTCACGGCGTTTCATGTTATAGTCACGACATTTAAACTATTTTCCCCTTTTTTTCGTGTCACACAGAACGATTTTAAAAGCAATGTATTTCTATTGGTAGTGTGTTTCGTGCCTGCAACACGTCTTTTTGTCCGGTCGGGTCTTGGAAGTGTGTTATTTAGAAAAGAATAACAAATTAGAAGGAAAAAAAGATTTAAAAAATACAGATTTCAGTATTCTGAGGCTCTGAGCCATTTCTTTTCCTCACGGACGGCAAAAAAAGTCAGACATTATACGATTTAAAATTAAAAACAATAATCGTGGCTTGATATTGAGTAAGAACATGTTTTTATGAACCACACAGCTTCCGGTCTTCCAAGACCCGACCGGACAAAAGGACGTGGTGCAGGCACGAAACATACTACCAATAGAAATACATTGCTTTTAAAATCGTTCTGTGTGACACGAAAAAAAGGGGGAAATCGTGTTGGTGAACACGAATCAATAGATTAAATGTTGTGACTATAACACGAAATGCCGTGAGACTGGGTTGTATAAAATGGGTGATGTTAGCATAGCAACCGAAGCTAAACTGACTATCTTGACTACTTGTTGCTATCCTAATGTGGCATAAGCCGTTTTCTACAGGCACATTTTACCGGCGTATTTTTCATTATGATTCTACTTGTGATAGTCGGACATGACAACCTGTGCAGCCCATGTATTGATTCCATCCGATAGCTGCTATAATACAAAACAAAACGTCTGCCTGCTCTCCACAATGATCAATAACAGCGAACGGATGGTCAAAGTAAGGTACAAATGAACAGAATCACACGAAGCCTGGTTAGTGTTGCCTGACTTTATAAAGTGTGGTTTTTTTTACACTGCTACTGCTTGTTACAACTTGTATTTGCCGTACTCGCCATAAACTGTTGCTCAGGTTAATCTCGCCCCCCTCCGACGTAAGCGTGACGTATGCGGTTCTTGCTTCTAGACCGACAATTTTTTTCGAGCTTGGTAAGAACCGGTTTTCTGGGAAAAGAGCCGGCTCCGCTGCGGTGTGAACAGGAAAAATGGGTGCTTATCAGGCTCAAGCTCCGAACCGGCCCTGGAACCGCGTTGGTGTGAAAGGGGCAATAGAGACTTGAATCCTCCTGCAGCCAGCACATGATGTTAATGTATCAAAGATATGTGATTTATTTTCATTTTGACTGAATTGTCACATTTGTGTACTGATAGATAGTCTTGACAATAACTTGACAATGAAAAGTAAAAAAGGTTTGTGACCATGAATGTGTTAACCTTCAGAGCAGGGAACGTGTTATTTCTGCCCCTAAATCCTGATGGGAGGAACATTGGCAACATGTTGTTTATCACACACCATACTAATAAACCATTCCAAACTAATGTTCCAAACTGCAAACTAACGGTACTGAAGATATAACGGTGATGGAAACATATCATATAAATCAATATTCTGATCAATCTCCGGCAGCAGAGGTGGTCTGAGGTGCTTTAGGATTTCTGAAATGAAACTCTGACCAGCCACACACCTCTTATCTCGCTGATGATGATTAGAGAATATAATTGTTACTTTTGAGTAAATCTGCCATTTTGAAATAAGCTAAAACAGGTTAGTGTTGACCAGCTGCTCTTCATGTAGTGACTGAACATTGGGAATGAAAAATATAGTTCACAAAATTGCAATGAAAGAATATTGATGAAAAACCGTAGGTAATGTTGACCCCACTTTCATGACATCACTGTGCGGTGTTGTTACAGAGGAAACCCACCCCTTTTAACTGAGGGGAAATACAATGATGCTTTTCAGGCCCACATTTCATCTTTAAATCCGTCACTGTTCCATGCAACAGTCTATTTCAAGCATTTTGTTATGCGTTACATTTGAGCAGATTAGCTGAAGTTAGATCAGCTAAATAGTTAAAATAGTAATGCTGTTTAGTTTGCAAAGCCATCATAACCTTTATATGTGCTCAAAGCTTGGAGCTTCATTAAACATACCCAATTGTATTTACTCAAGGGCAGTAAAAACCTGTGATGTTTACATGGCTTAATAAATCAGGATAACAGCAGGAATTCAGTTCAGTATGTTGTGGTGTACAGCTTAGTTATTCAAAATTAAACAGTTGTTCACTGTCCCTAACCCTCACTGGCATTGAACTGTCACTAAATGATATGCAGCAGGCTTATTCAGGAAAAACACATCATGTGACCTGTTCACAGTACGCACCCAGATTATGATGGCAGTTATTTAAATGTGCTGTTTATTTTCGGCCTGTGTGTTAGACTTCGCCAACCCACAGCTGCTGCATGATTGGATACGACTGCTCCGCTTCCAAAAGGTCACGTGATAGACCAGACTTTGGATGCTAATTGGGGAGGGGGTTAATTGTCTCAAAGTACAGAGACTCTGTAAGGACATGTTCCTCTTTCTATAAAGGTTTCATTTGTATCCTCAGTAACTTGTTTCGGAAAATGATCATCACTGTATAAACTATAGGGATTTGTAATAACTTGGTTTATGCACAAACACAGTAACTGTCCTTTAACATATCCAATATCAGTATATCAGATGTCAGATCAGTGAGTAAAACATAGTGAGGAGAGCGCAGTAAATTGCCCGTACAGAGTGCTGTTTATCCTGGCTGTAGTCCTTTTCCAGCTCCTAGATATAAGCCATTCATCCTCAAAGCAACACATGCTGCTGTGTTTTTACACCGTTCTATCCTTTTTCTCCTCGGCGCTCCCCTAGACGAAGGAGAATGAGCCTCTAATCTTCATGATTCACACTATGATCGAGAACTCGGCACCGAGGCCGCAACTCTATCAGCAAGTAAGGTCCTGGGCAGGATCTGGCTTGAGTCAAGACAACCCATTTTCCTTTCCTGTGCACTGTGTATCTGTGTTGTTATGTCAAAACTTCATGGCAATCATGATACTTGACTTTAAGGTTAGTTAGGTATCATCTTTTTGTTTTATGTTAAACCTGAATGCAACAACATGGACGTTTTGAGGTTTTGCTCAACTTAACTTCACTGGATGAAGACATTAACTCAAGAAGCTTGCAGTTAGTTTTCCCTAAAGGGACGACCCTGTTGTTCAAAAAGGACATTTTGGATTTGACCTGAAATGGAGCGGACTCAAGCCAGACCTTTGCCCTGGTAGCCCAGTGTACCCATGTGTTCCCTTCATCTTCACCTTCTGTTTGACCACTTTGGATGTAGACAGTGTGTTCATAAACCCGTCAGACATCAGCAAACCTTCACACACATTCTCTCAGCATTATTCAAAGTGTATATAAAGGTGTTTTTGGTTTCAGGAGATCTCATTTCATTGCTTTTTATTTGAAGCTGTTGGAGTGTCTTCAAGCGCGCATGTTTTATAGTGTAATGCTGCACAGTCATGGATTTCTCCCCTCACTGTCTCTCATACAGCGCTGTGTTGTTGTCATCACTATGGAGACGCTTATATTGTTTAAATGTTTATGTCTTAAAGATTCACTTCTCAAGATTTCCTGTGAGGAATAATAACCCTCATGTTTCTGCACATATGTAGCTTAGCTTAGCATAAAAACTAAAAGCTAAAGCAAACAGCAAGACATTAAATATATATTTTACATATATATATAAATTGACAAAGAATAAGATATCATAATATGGTTGTCCACAAAATGGAAATATAACAAATTACATTGATTGTGAGGTATGTGCTAGGACAACTTCCTGACCAACGATTGTGCTGACTCTTAGGGAGCCCTCTGGACACTATTAAAGTTAAAAGATCACTACAAATCAACCTTTGAGAGAGCGCGATGATAGATCTGCAGAATCTGCTGTGAGCGTGTCATCACCATCATGCTTTAACTGCACTATCCCCCCTTTGGTTCAAAGTTAAGGTCCACCCCAAAAAAAAGGACAACGTTCGATTTACTTATTGTATGCCTTACGAGTTCAGTAGAATTCAGACCTTCCAATTGATCAACTTATCACTGCCTATATCAATAATGCATCTACTCTGAAAATGCTGATATTCTGAATGTGGACACAGCACACTTTCAAAGGTTATTCAGTGTTTGTTAGTTGGTTGTTAGTCAGCGCTTTACGCCAGATTGCTCCAGTTTCATTCTTTGTCAGGGTGAAACTTCCACTGTAAGTGAACCAGGATCATCTAGTCCAAACTAATCTACAATCCGTTTGCAACTCTTGATTACAATAAACAATAGTTTAAAATGTACCCAGTGAAGTGAAAAACACATTGTTTGAACTCCTGTTTTAGTAAGGCATTTATTATGACGTCCAGTGTGTAGACCACTCCTCAGACGATGCTTTCTGAAGGTCCCATCTTCAAACAGCCTCCAGACTCTCTATGTGGGGGTGCACCAGGGTCTCTCAGCTGTATTTCCTGGAAGAGAACAGAAAACATTTAGAAAATTAGACTGAAACGACCAAAGCAGAGACAGAACTATGATTTGGCACACAGCGGAGAATTACACTCTTGCATTTCATTAACACATATATATATTAATACTTTTGGGCTTATTTGTATGGTTATTAGGGTGCATCTGTCCTCCCTTTCCTTTTCTCCACATTATTATATTCAGCCACATTATCCCTGGTAACACCTGGGTAAACAGCTTCAAGCTAAATGAAACAGGATTAGTAGGTATGCATTAAGCACTCATCCCTTCATCCCCTGCAGCTGGAATGAACAGCAGAGGCATACGAATGATTTATCTCTAAAATAAGCAGCATTTGCATTCTCTGTACATTAGGAATAATTAGGATAAGAAACTATGTTTGAAGTAGCACTTTAGAAAGACATGTTGGAGGCTGCAGTGGTCTGATGCCCCCTGTTGTCAGTATCTGATGGAGGCTCCGTGTTTCAGGTCAGTCCAGACGACCATAAAGAAGGCTCCTTCATCCAGCGCACAGAGGAGCCTGACATAGACGTAAGACAAGCCCATTCTTCAGTGATACAGGTGATGTGTTTTGAACAAGGTTGAGCATGTGTGTTTATTTGTGTGTCAGACCAAGCTGAGCAGACTGTGTGAGCAGGACAAGGCTGTGAGGCTGCAGGAGGATAAGCTGCAGCAGCTGCACAGAGAGAAGGTACAGCTCTCCCTCTGTCCACTCCTTTTTCAGATTTTTTGTAGGTCTGCATGTGCAGTAAGTATGTGTGTGTGTATGTTTGTATGTGTACAGCACACTCTTGAGACGGCCCTGCTGTCTGCCAGTCAGGAGTTGAGTGAACATAGCGGAAACAACGGCGCCGCACAGAGCCTGCTGCAGCAGAGAGACACGCTGCAGAGCGGCCTGCTGCAGCAGAGAGACACGCTGCAGAGCGGCCTGCTGAGCACCTGCAGAGAGCTGAGCAGAGTGACCACGGTGAGACACACACACCGGGGACACACCAGACACACACACACCAGACACACACACAGTCTTGTGTTTCCCAAATGTGGGGCCCAAACCTTTTCCCCCAATTGTGGGGTCCACCCTTTCCAACTACACTACACCTCTGTAAAAAATCAGGCAAGTAAAAAAAAGAAAATTTGAATCACAAAAATCACTTCAAATAAACATAATGCTAGTTTTTTACTCACTCAGTGGGGCCCAGTTTCTAGCATTCAATACTTACGAGGTTCAATGCATACATTACACACAGACACATGTTTCTATTTTGTATATCTTAGCTGGGATCACAGTAACTATCTGGAGACAGTATTGAGTTGAATGGACTTTTCAAATAAATTGCAGGACAGCATCAGGAAAATGTAGATTTTACTTGGATATTTTCTACACCAACAAATTCACATTGCTGGTAAGATTAGTCATTACTTAGGTGATTAGCCTCCTCTTAACATGGAAGATAAATAGACAGTACAAAGGCAGTAACATTGATCAACACCAGATCAAATCAATAAACCCCTTTTCGTTCAACATTGTTCTTTCTTAGTGGCAACCATTAGTAGTTCTTGAGACAAAATATTGCTTACTCTCAACAACATTCTTTTAATCCAATAAACATTTATTTGTATATTATTTGGGTGTTTTACTGCATGATGTCTTGAGAAACTCCCTCTTGAGCTTCTCAACAGTGCATTTCAGCTGTTCTTTTCCTGCAGCATAAATTATTTTATTGGTGCATACATGAGGATATGGTTAACGTTCTTCAACCAAGCTAAGAAGTCTGTTTGAGCGGCCACTTTAGTATGATGATTAATTTAAGTTTTATTTAGGGATTTTAAACATGCATGACCAGCATCACTTCTAGCACTATGGCTGCTATAGTAGTACCATAGTGCAGACAAATGGTCTGACCCCTAACCCTTTAACCTGAGATAATGTTTTTACAACAAATCCTCCTCAAGCCCCCAGGAAGTGCGCCGGACTCTGAGGAAAATATTCGTTGTGTCCAAACGGCGGTACTACAATTTCCGTATCAGTCCGTGACGTCACCCGGCCCAGAAATACTTTTCCCCATTGACTAACATGGGGAAAGAGACGTCTGTAAATCAGTGGATATTTTTTTTAAACTACCCAGTATCAACTATTTTATAGCCCTTATTCGAATCATTAGGTCCTTAAAGTTGTAAAATGCACTAAAAGCCGAATCCAGATTTATTTCCTCTCTCCATTCATTCTAGTGAGCCAAGATCGGGGGCGGGGCTTAAGGGGCAACTCAACTGCGCATGCTCTATAGAGTGGCGAAGTCACGCCCATCTACTTCCGGTCCATGGGACCTTATTTCGGAAAAATTATGAATTGAAGTCAATGGGGAGAGAAAACGTATCTTTCGATCCCGTTTGAATTGTGCCATGAATTACACATATGATGTTTGTCAATCTTAAAAAATCATTTCCATGTCAAAAAAGTCACAGTTTGTCGTAAAACTGTTGAAATATAAGACTATGAAAAATACGCAACTAGAAAGACTACAAATCCCAGAGTCGCGTAAGTGATGTCACTATTGTTTTCCTCCACTAAGAGATAGCTAAGATCAGCGCCATATAGATAGAATCTATCTATATGGCGCTGGCTAAGATAAGATAACTTTAACAAGATGCCTGTGTGCTTAGTACCAGGTTGTTCATACCAGCAATGGGTCTTGCTCGTTCTTTTGCTTCCCGTCTGATGAAAGGACCAGGAGTGGCTTGATCAAGTTAGCTACATAGCTAGTAGCTAGCACGTTAGTTAGCATTACAGTCTTGTCATTTTTATTAGCCTTAACATGAAGTAACATTAAGTAACCCAAAATGTTAAACAGTAAGAGTAGTAGTCATATTTCGTGAACCCTTTGAAGAGTACTGTCACACCGGTGTGATCATTCTATAATACACAATTTAAGCCCAGGGGAGAAAGGCTAACGCTAACGCTACATTAGCATCGGCGATCTTTTGCACTTCATGCTATCTGCACAAATGGTTGACATTAAACATTAAAAAGACCAGGCAGTTCAGAGAGAATCAACGGAAGGCAGGCAGGCAGCTTTGCATGACATTCATAGTGAGGGTAGTCAATCCTTTTTTTGACAAGACAGCAGTGACGGCCATCTTGGTGACATGTGTTATTGTGCGAGACCGGAGATGGAGTTCATTGAGCGTTTCACACAAACAAATGTGTTACTTCACAGTTTTATGACATTTTTTTTTTTTTTTTACTTGCAAAATTATCTTTTAAATTGACAAACATCATATGTGTAATTTGTGGCACAATTCAAACGGGATCGAAAGATAATCTTTCTCTCTCCATTGACTTCAATACATAATTTTTCCGAAATAAGGTCCCATGGAGGTCCACCGGAAGGGGAGGGACTTCGCCACTCTATGAGCGCACATACGGGTACTTCTGCTCTGACAGCCAGGCATGACGGGTAATCTGTGACGTTTCGCTCTCGAAAATCTCAGGCCATTTTGTCCTCATGCGCCAATGAGCAGCTCTCATAGGAAAGAACGAGACCCCGCCTCCGACGCTGTATCCAGTTCTTATTATACATCCATGATCCTCCTGCCCTACACTCATATACTCCACATAGTAAACAAAAAATTACAATACGATATATATAGGTATATATATATATAACACACACACACATTTCTTTTTGACAAAGATAATACAATTAAGAGCTTAACAGAAACAGAAATGAGCCTATGAATATTCCCGCATAGAGTTTAGTGTTCAAATAGTTTAATACAGGGGGGTAGGCCAGCCTACAAGTATCTCAAATTGTGAGATACTTGAGTATCTCACAATTTGTGTCAACTTCACTGACTCTATACGTCCGTCTGATCTTTGTTCTTGATCTACATTTGAACGTGAAACATTTGCACTCAGCCAACACACTGCACATTAAACTAGAGCAGATATAGCTTAAAGCACTGGAAACCTTAACTCCCATCATCTTTAGCAAAAACCTGTGCCCTGGCATGTGGCCTTTGTGCCCTAAAGAAATGTGTGACACCAAAGGCCAAATGGCCTTGCCCCTAAAATGATGAAATTCCAAGCCTGATACACACACACAGACACACACACACCGGACACACACACACACCAGACACACACACACACACACACACACACACACACACACACACACACACACACACACACACACACACACACACACACACACACACACACACACACACACTCACACACACAGTCCACTGACCCCTCTCCTGGCTGCTGTCCTGTTCAGGAGTTGGAGCGTTCCTGGGGGGAGTACGACAGGTTGGGGGCCGACGTCACTCTGGCTAAGTCCACCCTGCTGGAGCAGCTGGAGGCCCTGGGCAGCCCACAGGTAGCACAGACACACATCCACACACTTCACACTCCTTCTGAGGTGATCAAGCTTGTAACGGCATATGTGTGGGTTCTCAGACAGAGCCCCCGAGCCAGAGACACATCCAGATCCAGAAGGAGCTGTGGAGGATCCAGGACGTGATGGAGGCTCTGGCCAAAAACAAACCCCAGCGGAGCACAGACAACAGTGAGGCTTCACATTCATTTCACATTCATCTCATGTGATTAACATTATGAGAACTAACGCCTTCTCAGGTGTCTTTTATTCTGGAAAAGTCCCATTCCTTCTCTCTCCTTGTTTCCATATTCAGCAGATGTGCCTGCTTCCAGACCGCTCTCCAGTCTCCAGAAGAACGAGGTACAGCAGTCCACACCACACACACTAACAGCCACACCACACACACTCCCAGCTGGATCCCAACAGCTTCACATGTGTTTGGGAAGCTGTCATCCACATGTTTCTGTGATTCTCCAAATCACCAAAATGTGTATTTTGATGTCGATGTGTTTTTAAGCCAGTTAATGATATGACTTTATTGTCATTGCACAGTACATGTACACTGTGTTTGGATTAATTTCCTTCTTACCAGGCAGCAACTGGTTTCCTTCTGATTCAGTCCGTTACGTAAATCACTTCCTGCTTGCTGTAGATAATGTCTCGGTGACCTTTTCTTCAAATGATAAAGCAACACATTTCTCCAACACTCTTTAGACTTCAGAGTTTCTTGTTTGACAGAAAAAAATGTTATGAGATTGTTTTACACTGTTCTGTGCTGAAGTCTGAAGGTGTGTTCAGGCCGAAAACAGAGATAAGTCTTGCGTTAGTTTGACTGCTCTCTGACTGATCTGTTGTTAGGGTTTGATGCAGGCAGACATTACAGACACAGAGAATGATCCCAACTCCATAGAGCTTTAGCATCCTTCAGCTGTGTGTTTGGGTCCCTGTGTGTTTGGGTCCCTGTGTTTAGGTCCCTGTGTGTTTGGGTCCCTGTGTTTAGGTCCCTGTGTGTTTGGGTCCCTGTGTGTTTGGGTCCCTGTGTTTGGGTCCCTGTGTGTCTGGGTCCCTGTGTTTGGGTCCCTGTGTTTGGGTCCCTGTGTGTCTGGGTCCCTGTGTTTGCGTCCCTGTGTTTGGGTCCCTGTGTGTCTGGGTCCCTGTGTGTTTTGGTCCCTGTGTTTGGGCCCCTGTGTTTGCGTCCCTGTGTTTGGGTCCCTGTGTGTCTGGGTCCCTGTGTTTTGGTCCCTGTGTTTGGGCCCCTGTGTTTGGGCCCCTGTGTTTCAGCCCCTGTGTTTAGGCCCCTGTGTTTGGGCCCCTGTGTGTCTGGGTCCCTGTGTTTGCGTCCCTGTGTTTGGGTCCCTGTGTGTCTGGGTCCCTGTGTGTTTTGGTCCCTGTGTTTGGGCCCCTGTGTTTGGGCCCCTGTGTTTCAGCCCCTGTGTTTAGGCCCCTGTGTTTCAGCCCCTGTGTTTAGGCCCCTGTGTTTCGGCCCCTGTGTTTCAGCCCCTGTGTTTAGGCCCCTGTGTTTGGGCCCCTGTGTGTGCAGTGGTATGGTTCTGTGCTCAGTGAGCGACTGTGTGTCTGCAGGCAGATACGCTGCTGCCACTCAGTCCTCTCAAAGAGGCGGACAGCGTTCCCCCCCGCCCGCCCCTGCCCCAGTACTACGACTCAGCAGAGCGCCCCCCCCAACATGCCCCCCCACCACTCACACCCAGGCGGTCGCCTGCAACCCCAAACACACCGCCCCGAGGACCGCAAGGCTGGCTCCAGGAACGGAGTACACAGCGTAAGAACCGCTGAAATACTTCATGCCCCCCCTCATGTGTGCCCCCACCGTCCACAGACTGTGTCGTCCATCATCAGCACGCAGCTTTCTGTAGGCTCACTACATTTTTCTTTATTTTCCCCTGATTTCATATTCAAGAGACTCATCCCTCACCAAGCGCCATTTTGGATACATGTCACTAATTTCCTCGTTTTTACCCAGCAGTCCATGCTCCATCCAGTCATCACTGTCACCCCCCCCCCCCCCCTTCACTATCATATTCAGACCCCCGACCTGGGTTACCCCCCCCTGCTGTCTTCATAGGTTTGCACAAGGTCTGTAGGTGTTTCTCAATCTCGAGTACGCTTGCTTGGTAGCACATGTCTGCCGAGCATCTTGCTTCAGAAGCGAGTCAAGAATACTTCCTGGCATTTGGAAAACAAAGAGTGGAACAGGCTAGCAAGTGTGCAGGTGTGCGTCATATGAGACATCTTCCGCCACAGATTTGGGGAAATTGGTCCGTGCGCAAAGCATTGTGGGGATTTTAAGACCGCGGAGTCTACTCATGTGCAGCCTCGATATTTCTCCAAACGGAGTACGCCGGGCTCGGTAGATTTCCAAGTATGCTGGACATTGGAACAGTACTTCGGCGGCACTCGATGACGTAGTATGCTTGAAATAGTGGCTCTGAAGCAGCTTTACTCGCGATTGAGAAACACCCCCAGTGTATGTTGATGTGTGTCACCTGTTTCCACATGGTGTTTAATCTGACCTTGAACACACTCTCCCTCACAGCAAAATCCAGACTACCGGCTGTATAAAAGCGAGCCTGAACTCACCACGGTGAAGGAGGAGTTGGATGAGGCCAACGGGGAGGACAAGGACAAGGCAGAGAGCTCGGACACAGCTTCCAAAGGTACTGAAGCTTACACATACATATCTTTATATTTATTGGATTGTCTTCATGTTATACTGGTTGGAGACAGTGGAAAAACATCTGATCTATGCTTCTATACTTTCACTACTATCAGCAATCACACTGATTCATTTATCACAAAAACAACCTGATGACCTGCAGTCAGTCCCTGAATGCCTCCTGTTTTTGTGGATTTGTTGTTCATGTTTTGTATCTTTTGTGAAATGGACATAAATGCCACAACATGAGCAATCATCCTGACTGCTGTGTCTGTTTGCTGATGTGTAGTCTCTCCTACAGTGCCCTCCTACCCGGTGGGCATCATTCCTCCTAGAACCAAATCTCCCATGAGGCCCCTCGAGTCCTCCACCATTGCCTCTTATGTCACCCTGAGGAAGACCAAGAAGCCTGAATCCAAATCAGTAAGTTTTTCCCTCAGCGTCGACAGACACAGAAACACAGTTAGATCAAATGATTCCAGTTGAGCAAATGTGGCAGAATCAGCCGCAGGGGGGGCTGTCTTGTAAAATGTCTCTGAGGTCGACATTCTTTTGAGTCAAATTCGTAATATGCTACATCGAGAAGGTGACACACATCTACATTTACAATGACACGTCTCTTAATAGTGTCATTCAGATGACTTGCCATAGGAACCATGTGGGCACATGTTTGTAGATGCTGCCTGAATACAGAGTTCGTCTGCAGGGTCAAAGCTTTTCTTCACATCTCAGAGCTAATCTCTGAATAATGTTGTTGTTTGATTTAGAGGTCATATCTTTTATTATGTCTCTTTAATCACAGTTGTCGTGATTTCTGCTCCAGTTCATCTTTTGGTGCTGCATTAGACATTTAAGTAACTCGAGCAGGGAAGAGCAAATGATAAGAATATGAAAGTGTTAGAAGAGTCTAAAAGCACATGAGCAGGAGTTTGAGTTTTGTTCAAATTAGCATTATACTAATATCAATAAAACAGCAAAGTAGATCAAATAAATGAATGACTTAAAGCAGAGTTTCTGTTGCAAACTGAACCTCTGATGGTTATGATGCACTTATGTCTGTTTTGTACTCATTTTCATCTTCACATTGTGTGCAATGCCTTGTTTACATGCTGCTGTAACACAAATGTTTCCAAAGTTGGGATCAGTAAAGTATATATGGTCTTATCTTATCTTAGTGCTGTGGAATCCTACTTTATATGTAGTTCCACTTCCTCCACATTTTCACTCACGGTTTGTGCCGACCACACTTCTATTTGAGTTATTCTTTCTTTACACGCTCTTATTTGTTAGTGGACATTCGTTCACTGTAATGTCTGACTCACTCCATTACACTAAAGGTGTAAAAGTCCACTGTACCGATCTAGTGCAGCCACACCGCTGAGACCAGATATACATCCTGACCATAAACACTCACTCAGATTTTAATATCTGCACATACAGTACCAGTCAAAAGTTTGGACACACCTTCTCATTCAATGGTTTTTGTTTCTTTTATTGTTGTTCTACTGAAGACATCAAAACTATGAAAGAACACATATGGAATTATCTAGTTGACAAATAAGTGTTAACAAATCCAGAATATGATTTATATTTTATATTCTTCAAAGTAGCCCCTTTTGCCTTGATGACAGCTTTGCACACTCTTGGCTTCTCTCAGTCAGCTTCATGAGGTCGTCACCTGGAATGGTTTCCAATGAACACGTGTGCCTTGTAAAGAGTCCATTTGTGGAATGACTTGCCTTCTTAATGTGTTGAGACCATCAGTTGTGTTGTGCAGAGTTAGTGCACAGTGGAAAGCCCTATTTGACTGCTGTTGTAATCCATATTATGGCAAGAAACACTCAACTCAGTAAAGAGAATCATCATCACTTTAAGAAATGAAGGCCAGTCGATCAGGAAAATGTCAGGAACTTTGAATGTATCCTCAAGTGCAGTCTCAAAAACCATCGAACGCTATGATGAGACTGGCTCTCATGAGGACCCCCGGGACAGGAAGAGCAAGAGTTACCTCTGCTCAGAGGATAAATACATCAGAGTTACCAGACTCAGAAACTGCTAATGAAAGCACCTCAGATTAGAGCCCACATAAATGATCACAGAGCTGAAGCAGCAGACAATCTCAGCATCCACTGTTCAGAGGAGACTGCGTGAATCAGGCCTTCATGGTCCAATCGCTGCAAAGGTCCACTACTGAGGATGAACAACAAGAAGAAGAGAATAGTTTGGGCCAAGAAACACAAGGACTGGACATTAGACCAGTGGAATCTGGACTTTGGTCTGATGGGTCCAAATCTGAGGTTTTGGTTCCAACCTCCGTGTCTTTGTGAGACGCAGAGAAGGTGAGCGGATGGTTTCTGGATGTGTGGTTCCCCCCATGAAGCATGGAGGAGGAGGTGTGATGGTGTGGGGGGGCTTTGCTGGTAACACTGTTGGTGATTTATTCAGAATTCAAGGCACACTTAACCAGCATGGCTACCACAACATTCTGCAGCGCCATGCCATCCCATCTGGTTTGAGCTTACTGGGACCATCACTTGTTTTTCAACACACAATGACCCCAAACACACCTCCAGGCTATGTAAGGGTTATGTGAGGGCTATTTGACTAAGAAGGGAAGTGATGGAGAGCTGCGTCAGAGGACCTGGCCTCCACAATCACCGACCTCAACCCAATTGAGATGGTTTGGGATCAGTTGGACCGCAGAGTGAAGGGAAAGCAGCCAACAAGTGCTCAGCCCCTCTGGGAAGTCCTTCAAGACGGTTGGAAAACTATTCCAGGTGACGACCTCATGAAGCTGACTGAGAGAAACCAAGAGTGTGCAAAGCTGTCATCGAGGCAAAAGGGGGCTACTTTGAAGAATATAAAATATAAATCATATTCTGGATTGCTTAACACTTTTTTGTTTACTAGATAATTCCATATGTGTTCTTTCATAGTTTTGATGTCTTCAGTATTAATGTATTAATGTGGAAAATAATGTAATAAATAAAAACCTTCGTATGAGAAGGTGTGTCCAAACTTTTGACTGGTACTGTATGTCATGGGAATTCAGCCATTACTTTACCTTTGGGTAATAGCCGATTGATTAACATATACGCCAGCATATTGTATAGACCCAGAGTTTAACGCCCAGAGAGACAGAAGCTGATCCTGGCTGCCGTCCTGCACAGGAGCGGCCCCGCAGTGCGGTGGATCAGACCAGCTTTGGGGAGCGAGAGGGGGGCCGAGCACGGATGAGTGTGGAGGAGCAGCTGGAGAGAATGAGGAGGAACCAGGAGGCCTCGTCGCTCCGAGAGAAGAAGAGAGAGACCCCGTCCCGCTCGCCCTCCTTCAGCAAAGACAACCCTGTTATTATCCAGCAGGTGATGTCACACACTGTGTCCCCATGACCTGAACTACACTGATCTTAGAAACTAGCTCCTGTGCTAACCTTTTCCCTGCCAAACATTTTCAGTCGATCCAATAATCCAAGTGTGTGTGTGTGCCGGTGTGTGTGCAGGGTCGGGGGCAGATGGAGGGGGCCTGTGCGGACCCTGTGCAGCTGGAGGCGGCGCTGCAGCAGCTGAAGGTGGAGACCATGGAGCAGAGCAGGACACACCCTGCACCAGAGGTTCATGGGATATTTTGATTCCAGTAGTTTCCAACACAACACTTGTAATGCTATTTATTCATTGGTGGATTTCGATGCTATGCTCAGCAATCTTTAGTCAGTGCTGAGATTGTGACTATATAAAGGGCTGGTTGATGCAAAGCTCCATGCAGGTCTCTCATGATCACGTTCTGTTTCCTTCTCCAGGAGGTGCAGGGAGTTGAGGAGTGTGAGGAGGTGCAGCAGGACGGGGAGGGGCCCCTGCAGAGGGAGGAGGAGCTGCAGGATGAGGTACTGCAGCCTATAACATTTCAATGATATTCATTGGTACAGTGTTAATGGATAAGCCTTTATCTTTCCAATTTTCAACAAATCCATAAGAAAGTATGGCTCAATAAAACACATAGTACCAGGAAGTAAAACACATAGTACCAGGAAGTAAAACACATAGTACCAGGAAGTAAAACACATAGTACCAGGAAGTAAAACACATAGTACCAGTTAGCAAAACTCTTGGCAATAGTAATTCAAGTGGAGTGTTAACTTTGGATGCCTGCAGACGGATCCATCCCATGGTTCCAGCTAACAGTAAACTGCTGTGTTGCTGTCTGCCAGCAGGTGGAGGGGAATCATTCTCACACACAGACACACACACACCATTTCTCAATGTCGAGGAGGCTTGCTTGGTAGCACATATATGCTGGGCATTTAAACAGTGATTCGGCGCCACTCGATGACGTAGTATGCTTGAAATAGTGGCTCTGGAGCAGCTTTACTCGAGATTAAGAAACGGCCACTCTCTCACTGTGTGTAATCCCACAGCTGATACTCAGTTATTGTGGTCGTGTAATCTGGGACAATAAGATTTGTGGGGGTGTGGTAGCTGTAAGAGCTGCATCTCCTGGATTAAGCCTCTCTGGATTAGACTCTCCACCTTCACTCCACAGCAGAGACGTCATCATTTATTACTTAATAACTTATTCACTCAGTAGTAGTTCAATCTGCTGATTCTTTTTCAAATAAGAATGTATTCCTCATGTATTTATTTATCCTTTTTGTTCTCAGATGATTTTTTAACTAAATATTCGCTAATTTACCACTGTTTTTAAACATTAAATATAACTACATATTTAAAGGTAGGGTAGGTAATTTTGAGAAACCGGCTCGAGATCGCTAGAATTTGAAAATACACAACCGGAGAAAATCTGCCACTTCCTTACAGAGCCCCTCCTCCAACACACACGAACGCGCACATGACCAATGAGGGCACGAGATAAGTTTGTGCACAGATGGAAGGCTGACAGGCAGGTAGGCCATCCAGTTATTTTAGCCGGACCGGCTAAAATGATTGGTCGTGCTTTTTACAGTACTACGGCTTCCACAGATGATATTTTCTTATGGATTTTTTGTCAAAGCACTTAAGATATTCATTGCTATCGGGATGTTAAGAGCATTCCATGGAATATAACAAAAAGTGTATCTCGAGCCGGTTTCTCAAACTTACCTACCCCACCTTTAAGTGTTTGCCAAGATCAAATGTTTTAAATAACATGCCATGGAAAAATTGATATCTTGCTACCACAAAATATACATGTCAGTAGGTAACAATGATGCGTGTGTGTGTGTGTGTGTGTGTGTGTGTGTGTGTGTGTGTGTGTGTGTGTGTGTGTGTGTGTGTGTGTGTGTGTGTGTGTGTGTGTGTGTGTGTGTGTGTGTGTGTGTGTGTGTGTGTGTGTGTGTGTGTGTGTGTGTGTGTGTGTGTGTGTGTGTGTGTGTCAGCTGTGTGTGAGTCAGAGGGTGGTGATAGTGGACCTGTGTGCGGAGCCTCAGCGTGTTGAGATTGTAAATCCTTTTGAGGATGATGAAAGCAGAGAGCAAGATCTGACCAGCTCGCCAACAAACACCACTACTGAAAACAGGTACATGTGTGTGTGTATGTGTGCGTGTGTGTATGTGTGTGTGTTCTCACACCCCTTCAGCTGCCTCTGGCTTCTGACTGCATTCTTCCATTGCTGATGTCACCCATTCATGTCCATCATTGTTTGCCTTAATGTGCCCTTAATGGAACACTAATTCTCAAATTCACAAAGTAGACAAGGTGAGATCAATGAACTTATTTGAAAAAGGTTATTCAACATTTTGAAATGGGTGTGGACTTTGAATCCTTGTGCTCCTGCTTATGGAAGCTTTCAGACTCCGGAGCCTGAGACCCCGAGCCCGGAGCCGAGGGAGGAGGAGGCCGAGGAGAGGCAGCAGAGAGAGGGGGAGCTGAAGGAGAGGCTGACCGCAGACCACAAGAAACACAACAACAACAACAACAACATGTTGGCTTGTGAGTGAAGACTGTCCATCGCACACGCATCTGTGTCTGTACACCTGAGACCATATTTACATCTTAATACAACATAGTCAAATATTGAAACTAAATTGCCCTTTTGGTTACCTCACTTTGGCCTTGAAGGACTCTGACATTAGCACGCTATCTGCTGAAACAGGTCAGGGTCGACGCTGAGAGCGTCATATTTAGAGCTAAGGACATGTGGATATCTCCAATCACTCATGTGGGCCTTATTTTAGGCTGATGCTTACTAATCTTAAAATACTTAATATGTTAAAAAGATTTTTTTAATTGCTTTTCACAAACAATAATATATCAGACAATGCAGAATAAGACTTTTAAAGATCATTTATGGATTTGGATACCTAATGGATGGACATGTATTACAGATAATAGAATGGGGTCAGGGGATAAATGTAATTCTTTGAAAATAACTTTGGCTGCTACTATAGATTAGATTTGCTTTTGTTTAGTCTTCAATAATGCTGATACCAACTGTTTTAGACACTCTGTGTCAATAAAAACGTGTTCAGCAAACTCTGGTAACACTGCTTCAATATAAACAGTAGAATTGTATAGAATTATATTTGAACTTTTAAAATGGCTAAATGTAATTGATCCTTTGTGTATCTAGATACAATTAAGATACACAAACTCAAGACACGTGAGATGGCTTTGAGGCTTTTCTCACAAATAATCACTAAGGGTTGAACAATGACTACACATATACTTTACTCTACATCAGACAGCAGTGGGGTGTGTTCCTGAGTTTCTGTTGTGTGCAGATTGGAATTGCTTCTTAAAATATCGCTGTGTGAACACATCTGAATTGAACATCTCATGTTCTCTCTACTAGCTAGAACAATTCTAAAGTTCAACAGACAGCGCACTCCAGTGGCGAGACAATGACACTGCAACTTTGAAAGAATTGATTATGAGAAGACAGACATTCAGTAATTATGTTTCTAGCTTAATAATCAAAGACATCTCAATTCATTTCTGCATGGCGTTTGAGTTAGAGCTTGAGCTAAAGCCAGTTCAGCCCACATTACATCAGTTTAACCCTTTAGACCGAAACGGTAAGGGACCACAACAGGATGCAGTCTGCAAAAGCTATCAACAACCAAAGACACCTGAGGCCTGTACGACGAAGCCGGTTCAACATAACCTGGATATGTTTGAGTTAGCCGGTTGGCCTAATCCAAAACATACGCGCTCTCGCTAAACGGTCCTACGACGCGGGTTATCAAGTGGATCGCTCAAGCCAGCCGTGTCCTATCTAGTTAGGTGCGCAGTGATATCATAAACCTGTTAATGTACGCATTCAAACGCTTTTTCTGTTACCAGCTGTATTCACCTTGCAGCTGCAGCTATGTGGCTTTTATCCTGGATAAAGTGTTTAAGTCATGGATGTTTAAAGTTTAACTTCTTCATATTTGTCTAATATTAAAGTTTACTTTTCCTTCAGGAAGTATGACGCTGCGCTGGCAGTACGCTTGTCCATGTTTGTGATTGGTCAAATGTTGCTAACCCCGCCCCTTTCATGTGAACGCGCACTCAGCCGGACAGAGAAACCCTGGCTTGAGTTACAGAGTTGATAACCAGCGTCGTAGGACCGCTTAGCGAGAGCGCGTTTGTTTTGGGTTAGTTAAGCCAGATAACTCAAACATATCCAGGGTATGTTGAACTGGATTCATAGTACAGGCCTCTGGCTGGACATAAACAGATATCAATACCTAAGATTATCAATATCAGAACTCCCATTCCTTACCGGTAAATAAAGAAACATATGTTCCAAAAAGCCATTTATAGCAGTAACAGGTGGGTGGAAATCCAACCAAATAACTGCACACCCCCCATCCTCAAGTACATTATCTGGGATCCACACACAATGACACCCCTGAGCCCCATGCTCCTGATCACACATTCTGATCTACAGTACACGTAAACTATTGTTAACTGTATGTCGCAGCACTACACTCTTTTCAACTGAGAAATGAGCAGTTCATTCTGGTTGCCTTGACAACTTCTAAAAAAAGACAATCTTACTAAACTGGATAGATGGATGAGACCACCCAAAGGCACCTTCACCTTCACATGCACATTTCAACAGAAAGATAAAAAGCTTTGAAGAACAACTAAATGCTTTAAGTCCCAGCCATCAATGTAACACAAAGGAAACCAGTGAACACAACCCAACCCACGTGACACGCTAAACACTCCTTCTGATTGGTGGAGACATCCGGAGGAAAGCATCGTACTGCTAATACCTTTGGACTCTCTGACTGACTGTGTACCCCCCCCACTCTCTCCTCCTCTCTACAGCGCAGACGTTCACCTTGGTGAGCAGCGACACGTGAGCCGCCCCCCACCCTGACGCCCCAAAGCCCAGATGTAGCCTGCCTGCACAGAGCATGCTCCAAGGCTTCATGTTTACAACAGGACTGTTTTGATACTACTGTCACATGCCCACAGGGGCGGAGCCTGAGAGGAGGACCCCCCCCCCCCCCTGCCTGGTGGACCTCACAGACGGCCCCTTCACTTCCAGACAGAGAAAGATGTGCTGCTTCTTTAGAACCTGTTAGATTTGTCCATCCTGATATGTTCCTGAGCAAAACAGTGAATCAATGGGGTCACATTTCAAAATATTTCTACATTCAGATTGTGAAATGGTGTAGTCATGAAGTCATGGTTGTGCGAAGAAGAAAACACTCTTATAAAGTGGAGTTTCAGAAGCTGCTAATCCTGTTTTAGAGAAGAACATTTACCACTGACAAACCAACAACAACAACAATATACTCAGTTAGCATGTTGTTCAAATGTTTTATTCATTCCACGTTTGCAGTCAGTGTGAATAAAAGCAACAAAAAGGGGCTCAATTATTCTCCCATGCTTAGCTCGGCTGATATCAACACAGAGAGGATGGAGTGTTTTTCATGGGCCATGTTTTTATTGCTTTAAACATTAAACCATTTCACAATCTTGTCTGTATATAGCACTTGTTTTGGGGGTAATAACGCTCCATAGATATCACCTGCCAAATGTAAACACACACACATCAATACACATACATTTAGATACCTAACTAAGTATTAAAGTTATCTTTATATAATAAGTCTTAGAACATTCTACTGATGTGGACGGGGGGTATTGGCTGTGAGTAGCTGGAGGGGGTGTACTGGAGAAGTGTCCCCTCAGATGGGCTCAGCACCAGAGCTTTCTTGACCAGGTACTCTCACATTCATTCTGTGTTCTCTTCAAACCCAAGGCTCCCTTATCACTCTATTTTTATTTTGCACCTGCAACATAACAGATTGTCCTTCATTGGGTATACATATATAAATATATAAAAAGTATATATATGAACATAAAGCAGATTCAACAAGGTGCCACTTCATGCTGCTGACTCTTTTGAACAGAACTAAGTATTTTGCAGAAGTTGTGATTATTTATGTTGAGCCGGCTGTCTGTTCACACACGTTAAGTGAATGTTTTACATTTCTCGTCTGCTTCTCATGTCTATTTGAGTTTATCTCTTTTTGGTTTACAGTACTTAGAAGATACACAGATGCTGAGGACATGACACTGATTAGATCTTTTGAGTTTAAATCTGTTCAAGGTGTTGAAGAGTTGGAGAATAGCACATGTACGAAGCAATAAGTAGGACTTTGGAGCTCCAGGACATAACATGAATTTAAAAGAGATGTATAAACTGTAAAAAAATATAATAAACAAGATAGCATAATTTATGTACACACTGAAAAGAATAAGAGAGAAAATTATAACTAGAGGTTATTATTCATATTATTAGGGTAAATATGCAAAAAGTTCATACCCATGTGTTTTATATCATGTGAAATAAATGTTGATGTTCTTTAAATATTATTGTTGTCGTTGTTTTTTTGCTGTCTGCTTATCAAATGACCCTTTGCTTTCAGATCTAGTTCTAAAATCTCTCATTTCATCCATGTTGCTGTAAGACCTGTCTAGGAGTTTGTCCGATTATGAGTAACCAAGAATATTGATACTCCATCCTTAGCATGTGTTTCAACACTGTTTGCAGTCTGGTTTCCACCGTCCTCTGCTTCCCACATTCTGTGCTTGGTCTTGTTGATTTGTCTTTGATATCATCCGACTGGTGGTGTTTCTCTTTTCTTAAAAGTAAGTTAGCCAAATATGAAATATTATCATTTCACCTGTTTCTGTCTATGAGCATTGGGATAAAGCTGGTCCACTCTGATTCAAGATTCAAAAGCTTTATTGTCATATGCACTTAGCTACAGTGTAGTTATGGCAATGCAAATCTGAAGTCCCGAGCTCGTCCAGCAATGCAACACAGTACATACATAAGACAATAAGACAATTACAAAGATAACAATTCAAAAATAGTGCAAAATGAAACAGAGTAGAATAGAATAGTGCAGATATGTTGCTAGAGTACCAATGTGCAAGTAATGCAGATGAAGTAAACTATATACATGTCAGAAAAATAAATAAATACAATAAGCTCAATAATGCAGAGAATGTTGTAAGTGACCAAGTCATTGCAGGTGGCACATCAACTAAAACTCCTCTCACCAACAGAATAAACACCTTAAAAATATAAAATGGTGAGCCTACAATCAACTCCCATTTGACTTAAACTGTACTAGGCAACCTTTAATGCATTGGACATGCAAAAACTTCTTGACAAACCCAAATGCTCCTGTCATCAACCTTATTGAAAAAGCCCAGCTAAGATGGGCTCTTCAACACAGACATCTCAAATGCAATATTGGCAAAGTAGGTTCAGGTCTTACACTGATTCACAATTGAATTCTATCAAAACTTCTCCACCAAGTGAACTCAAATGATTATCTAAAATAATTATTAATTTAAAAAAAAAAAATGTATTCAAAGGACAGTGGGGCTATGCCACAGGACCCGGCACTTCATATTGGCCAATTTCACTTTTGTCATCAGAATACAAAATATGTAATAAAATAACCGCTTGGCCAGAGAGAATCATTTCTTCACTCTTCAAAAAGGACCAGACCGAATAGAATAGTTTCTTCATAGATAATATTAGAAGATTCCTAAACATTGTGCACTGCGCCAAATCCGTGAAAGACCTGGTATTGCGGAAAAGGCTTTTGATCAGCTGGAGGGGCACTTTCTGTTCACTGTTCTGTGTCAAATGTACTTTGGCCAAATATACTTAGGATGAAATACTGTATCTCAACCCCACTGCCAGGAACCAGACTATCACTGGTATTTAAGCACCTTTTCCTCTAGCGCATGGCCCTCGAGCAACTAAATACCATAGGAGAGGGAAATGGGCCAGGACGCTTGTGTGCCTTCCGCTCATCCACACTCCAACATAGTTGGCATCATGTTAATTGTTAAGACACAGTACTTGTATTAAAGAAAATCAAGTGTTTCTTGTGAAAAACAAATTATATGGTAGTTAAAAAAAAAAGGAGTAAAAAAGGAGACGATCTTGATTGTTTTGTCAAAAAAAGATTTATAAATAAATTCTACTTAAGACTTCTGTCACGACTCAATCAATATCCAGGTTAAGGTTAAGATATATGTACTAAAATGTAGCATTATATACCTCAAATTTGATATTTCAATTGAGCACTTTTTCTCCATTTTGCACAGGCAGTACAGAAGCAGGCCTCCATTTCAATGCAACAAGTTGGCCACTAAAATCAGCATGGTTCAGATTAACGAGAGAATGAGTGGTAGTTCAAGACAAGAACGGCTGTGGTAAAGTCAAGAAAGCTAAAGCAGGCTAAGGAGAGTGGTGGTGCCTGCAGGAATATGCACCTTGCTGAGATAAGAACGTGCCTTTTCAGCACTTTTTGAGTTGGGTCATTTTCTGTTTGTCGGAACACGTGGAGCTGAGAGGCCACAATGCCGAAGATCGTCTATTGATACGAAGGTGACACACATTCAGTCTGCTCCCCAACGCGTCTATTACCTTTTTTTATTCTTCAAATAAATAATTGTACCCTACATGTTTTTACTATTGATCAGATTAGACATTCCACTTAGTTCGATACTGAATATGAAAGGAAAATAAACCGTTTCAGATTAGCTACTTTAGAAAAGCCTAATTCATTTTACATTGCCCCGAACTAGCCTGGCAAAAAACACTTTTGTGTATAAGTTGTTTTGTAGCGAAATTCATGGTTATTAATATGAAAATGTGTATTTTGTTTACACATATGAAAAGGTAAACTACACCGCAACGTTACAGTTCAAGATTTAAACCATATGTAACAAGTAGAATAATGCCGTTTAGAGATGCACTCTATGCAGCGTTATGAACAAAGTTATTGTTGGACGTATGTTTAGGTTGTGAGTGAGAGATCTTCTGAATACACAAGCTTTGGCCATGCGGAGCCGCGACGTCATCAAACCCCCTGCTGTGTTACGCTTGAAGCGGAGAGTGTGAGTGGAGGAAGAAGGGCAGCCTGAGGGCAACTTTTCCATTGGAACATCACAATAATACCTTTGGTGCTCAACGAAATGGCTCAAATAACGAGCGAGGGTGCCGAACAAGATTCTCAGCCGACGTCGAATCAAAACGGAACCGGGGAAACAGCAGAAACCGGCAATGAGGGACAGGCCGTGCCGGACCCCAAACAGGAACCGGGCGACAACAACGAGAACAGAGCAGGAATGGACGCGAGCGGTCGTGGTGTGGCGGCGGAGGACGGGGACAGTCTGTCTTCTGTGTCAGACGCTGACAAAGAAACAGCAGTACCGAACAAAAACCCCGACAACGACGGAGGGGAACCCGACGGTAAACTCTCTGAACCGGGGAAAAGTCCCGCACAAGGGAGTTTGGCGAGTAGCACTGATTCCGCACAAGAGGGCTCCCGGGTGCTGAGACAAGAACAAAGAGAGGGGGAGAGCGTGTCCTCCTCCTCGCCGGCCCACCGCACAAAGAACACGGAGAAAGCCGAGCACGGCACCAAGAGAGCGGCCAGCATGGAGGGGACCTCGTCGATCGGAGAGCCTCTCAGCCGGATGGATTCAGAGGACAGGTCTGTGAAGTAGTCTGCTTTATGAAGGCCTTACGCTCCTTTCAGAACAGCATGGGTGGTGTGGGACCACAACACGATGCGGAGTCCACCGGGTGATAGCTGCGGTCCATTAGTTTACATTGTAAAGAGTTCCAGCTCCGGCCTCTCGGTCTAGGACACCCGTGCCCGTTAGATGAAGGGTTCTTTGGGAAAGTTGTTTTAACTTAGCATTTGTATATTATTTTTTTTAATAGGCAACGAGCACTGTTGTGGGAAAGTTCTCAGAGGGTTTCGATTTGATCCATATCAACAGTAATAGTACTGTTTGCACAGCATGTTCATCAGCTCAGTTATCCCATTCACCGCAGTACTAACAGCCGTCCATACCCCGCCCCCCCAAATATACATAGAAGAGGATGAAGACACTGGCCTTCAGAGGTAGCAGAACCCCTCAGCCTCGTGGTCACAGTGAATCTGGACCTCAAGCTGTTTTTGTGATTCCCACAGGATCCAACCTGGGAAACTCACAACCACTCAGAGTGTGTGTAGGGTCCGGGCTGCACTATTAAGGAAAGTTTGATCAAAGTCGCAAAATGGACTCTACTGGTAAAGGCAAAATATGTGGAAATATCTGAATGAAGTATTGTGGAGCTGCAGAGAAGTCTACTTTACACAAATCTTGTCATGTACAGGTCCCCTAAAATAAATCGTACCACGATCATTTTAATCTATTTTCAATGATAATGAAATGATGTTCAAAAGTATTATACCCTCTTATATCACACATCATATTGCAATACCAATTTGAATCAAAAATAATACGTTGTTTTGTCCAAATGGTGCAGCCCTAGCAGGGATGGTCCCACAGCCCGCAGAGCCACAGCAGCACATTTCAGGGAACAGCGTGGATGTTTATGGGTCATTTTAACAAACCAATTCAACTGGGCTGCTATTGGTGATCATTTGCAGACCCACAAGATTTTGATTAAAAAAGACTAGATGGTTGGTTTGGCACTGTATGTAAGAGAAAAGAGGATGCAGAGACATGCAGTCTCTCCTCAGAACATGTCATGTCTTGGACAACAGGTTTTAAATCTTCGAAACCTCCAATATAAGGCATTTTCATACCACTTTTCAAACGAAACAAATCCAACTTGCAGCAGACTTTAATGCATGTTTGGTGTAAGGACATCTGTACACAGTGAACAGGCAGACATAGTGAGGGTATGTTAAACATTGGTTTTACGAGTACTTGTCTCTGATTGGTACTATTTATCAGAAGACTTGGATTGGTGCGTCCCTACTAGTGGAACAGTTTATCATGTTGAACATTGTAGTGTAGTCAGATCAGAACATTCTCTCACTGTAGCTACTGAACAGAGTGGAACAACTTATTTCATCCAACTGATAACAGTCTTGCGATAGCTGCTGCTCATAGTCCCAATACCATAACTACAGGACATTTAACTAACGTACATACTGTATGCGCCATCTCCAATATTTTTGCAATCGCCCTCAATTTGTCCTTCAACAAACAATGACAAAATATTAGTCTGAAAGTTGCAGACATTATAAAATGCTGGATGTCTGGAGGGAATGTCCCGGTCACGTTTGTCCGTTCCAGCTTTTAGAAACAGTTGATCTATTGCATGAGCTCAGGATCTTCCTTTAAGACAGGTTTGACATCAGCGGTTGAGTCTTTGTGCCTGAAAACTAAGCTCCATTAGAAGTGATGCATCCAGAGAGGCAGTTTGCCCTGCAACCAAGGAAAGAACATCGATCAAAACATCTGTTGCTACTTTGATATATTTTGACTTGTTTCTCTGACACACTGAAATGAGTATGAGTTAATAAGTTTAATGGAGCTTAAACTAGGACGATTGAATAGTCGTTTTACACTGTAGTGTAGATGATAACATGGTAAGAAAATGATCAAAGATGTCTGTCGGACACGTCAGCCTATTAAATAGCCCCACTCTTTTATTAACCCGTGGGTTACATTGACTCGCAGTACGGATCCAGACATCCATCTGCAGTGTGGGTTCATCCAGTATATTTCAATCTACAACTCGTACCTTTTCCCCTCTCAGCGCCAAGGAGAATATGAATATCTCAACACTTTTTAATCATTCCACCAAGTAGGAAAGAGTCCTACCCGTCAGCTGCATGTGAAGGGCTATGAACCTGCACATCCAGAATAACCCTGCAGTACTTGAACACACCAGCTGACCATTCCCCACAGCATGGCAGTATTTACAGCAACAGTGTTCAGCCCAGAGTTTCTGTTAGCCGGGAATTACCGGACTATGACCGGTAAAATATGCTGAAGACCGGCAAATCTAAATCTCTCCGGTCAAAATGTCAGGTCCAAAATAATTTCCCCTTAGCGCAATACTGCATCAGTTGCGCCACTTACGTGACAGACAAGAAGAGTCAATTCTAATGTCTAACATTTAATGTGGAGAAAGAGATTTATCCTCCTGAAGGGGACATTTTGACCCCTCATGTAAACAAATGCATAATGCTGCGCTATACTTTGCCGCCACACCCCGTTGCCAAGCAACGGTTATTGTTTGGTGTCCTCTGATACGCAGGCAGTCATATATCATTAGCCAGAACTAGCTAGATCTGATCGATAGAGACATAAAAGCAAGTGAAGTCTAATCGGACGGGAAAGAGAGATCAGATCAGCTGCTGCTGACGGAGACACGCAGCTCTGCATGATCACCTGCAGCTCTACATGATGCAGCTCTATGATCACCTGCAGCTCTACATGATGCAGCTATATGATCACCTGCAGCTCTACATGATGCAGCTCTACATGATACAGCTCTATGATCTGACCTGCAGCTCTGTCCGCTTTGACGGACCGGTGAGCGGAGCAAAACACACACTAAGAGTTAGAACTAACAGACTTAGCTATTTTATCTACCTCTGGAACAAACTAACTAGTTATAAATATGTTTATTCTTCACTGTCGGGTCACTCATTACTGGATCAGTGAGCTGCATGAGATACTGACGGGCTGTCAGGAGAGAGAGAGGGGGGGAGAGAGGAAAAGAGAGGCTCCGTTTATTACTCCCTTGTTATTATCCAAAGTTACTGTACACTTTTGAATAATGTAGTGAATCTACTATAATTAGTTTGTTTAATATAGAGTCGTTATTAATTTGTTTTTATATATATATATATATATATATATATATATATATATATATATATATATATATAGAGAGAGAGAGAGAGAGCTCTGTTTTCTAGCCTATTCCTAGTCTATTTAATTTATTGTTTTGGTTGTGTGTGATTTAATACATTTTTTATAATTTAATGAATTAGTTTGATTTATTATTTCACATTTCATTTGCAATGTTGAATGTTCAATACAAAGTTCTGTTTGAAAGGATGTACTTTAATTATTATGATATATTATCATTATGTCAGTGATCTAAAATGGTCTTACAACGGTGCCGACAATATTATCGTTTATCGCAATAATTTCCAGGAAAATGTATCGTCAAACAAAATTAATTATCGTGACAGGCCTACATACCGTACTAAGCCGAGCGAGGCCCTGCAGTGGAAAAGCGCCATAAGTGTTCCAGCTGCCAGTGTGGAGAAGCCTCTCAGTGGCTGAACCAGAGTTTCCGTTAGAATTTTTCTTTGTCGGTCAACATGTCCATTAAAGTTGAAATCTTCCGGACAAAATGAGAAAAGTGCCGGTCAAAGGTCTTCTTTGTTATTTATTGAGCTTTAAAACAAATTAATAAGGACTCTATATTAAACAAACAAATTATAGTAGATTCATTTTGTTGTAGTTGCCAGCGATTCTCTCACTAGTTTAGCATACTCAGCCCGGTTGTTGGCCCGGAAAGATTCTCGATTTTGGAGAGCCAGAAAACTGAAAAAGTACCCGTTAGCCGGAACTACGCCTAGTGGAAACGCAACCAAAAACAGCACGCTTAAACCGCGCTCCGCGCTGTAGTGGAAATGCGCCATTACTGTTCCTCTACTCCCACAGAGGTGTGTGTGTTTCTTGTAGGAATTAACACACCAACTGCAGCTCTGTCAGCTGTTTTGGTGCTGGCAGTCTGCACATATCTCAGCCACAGTGGACTTTTAGAGGATGTGTATTTTATTTATTATTTCCCACAAGTTTCAGATGAAAGTAAGTTACCCGTTTTTATACTTGGCCTTCTAGCAGCCAGAGGGTTGACTTGACTTTGAGAACCTGCTGGAACAGTGAGGACAGTATATTGTACTGTGCTCTGAACACGGGGGGATACATGTGGACCAGGCGGACCTCTGCTCGTTCTGGGTGAAGTGTTTCAGAGCCGTCGCTGTGTGTGTTATGTCGTCAGCCCATCGATTCATCCATTGTATTCCCCAGACTACCTGTGTTTACGTTCTTCTATTATGTTTTACACTGGTGGTGGGTAATGAAATATGTGTAAAATGTACTAACCCTGTCCAACACTGAACAGAAGGCTGTGTTTACTCACTGTGACTGTGGAGCCATTGCAGGTGGCTTTGTGGGTGTCTGTTTTTACTGCTTCATTCTCTCTGCACCCTCAGAAGACTCTGCATTAGAAACTTCACACACAAGCAGTCCATGCTTTTCCATCTCAGTTGTTCTTGTCTCCACCTGCTGTGTGTCTAGTAGGGATGTGCATCTCCATCACTGAGGCCGATGCAATGCGCATCTCGATACGTTGCCTACGATACATTAACGATACATTAGATACGATACGATTCACCCCTGTTGCGATACAGTCCGATACGATTTGATTCAACATTATGCGATTCGGGGCGATACGATGCGATTCAACACGATGCAAAATAATGATACAATTCAATATGGTACGACAGGATTTTGTTTTATTCCTTATATGCAGCAAATCATACATTAACAAAAAAGTGCTTCACATATTTGGTTCCCTCTAATAGTACTGCGCATTATGCTGTTTCTTTTTTACCTTAAAAAAACAAACAATTGGACCTTTCACAAACTGGCCTTTTCACAAGTGTAGTAGTGTTCTCTGTCTCCAGAGTACAGTACCATGTTATAACACCTCACAGTTAAACAATTTAAGGATGCATTGCCCAGGATTAACAATGTGCAAATAACAACTACCATAGTGCAATGCACATACAACTGCCATGCAACTGGTCTTTGCATCGTTTTGTTACCGATGCAAAGACGCTACAATCGATGCATCATGAGTTCAACCCAAACTGTAGCCGACGTGCACTCTTTCAACCGGTGCACTCGCATTTTGAACGTTTATGCCGGTGCACCGATGCAAATCGTTGAATCTTAAAATCCCTAGTGTCTAGACATCAGTCCTGTTGTGTATTTCTATTTTGGAGCAGGCAGAGCTTGTTTAATCGTTTCTTTGACGAGGGACAGTGCACATTGATGAACATTTAAAACAAATAATGCTTTAAAAACGTAAACATGCCGGATTTGAGCTAGTTTCCATCCGTAGTTCCTCACATACAACATTTAAGAACATGACATTTATATACATAGTAAAATAAATATATGATGTGCAGAAAGAGCATGAGCAGCATATAAGCATTTAGCACATGGCAGCACAATGTAGCAGCTACGATATATAACGTGCAGGAGGAGATAAAAGGGCTACATAACACCTTCCCCTCAAACACAACTGTAAATACAGCTCGACAAAATATACCCACAAGCAGGGGGTGTGTTGTTGGGTCTCTTTTTAAATGAACGAGTTTAGTCTCAAACTGTTTTGAATGAAAAGTGATGAGGCAAGTCCTGTTATGTTTTAGCGCTAAAGAAATGTACAGAAATGTTACTGGCAAGTATTACATGTCATTTCAGCCATTAATGAATCAAAACAAGGTAACCCATGCCACTTCCTGTATGTTCCAGCTGTGAATGTAACGTTTATCGCTGTGAACTGTAAGTGTCCTAACGTCTCCTCCCTGTTGTCCAGCATCAGCAGCACCCTGATGGACATGGACAGCACTGCGTCCAGCGGGCGCTCCACCCCTGCCACACTCAACGGTCACTGTGGGGGGGCGGGCAGCGGATCCACAGCAGTGGGGGGGGGCAAGTCTCTGAGCTACACCTGCTGCTGGGACCACTGCCAGCTGCTGTTCCCCAGCAGCCCCGACCTGGCAGAACACATCAGAGCCACACATGTGGACGGGCAGAGAGGAGGGGTCAGTATTGAGCTTATTAAGGCAGGTGAATAATAAACCAGTTCATTTCTGAAACTGTCAGGAGTACAGGGGCCGATCTCCCTCCATAATAACCAACCTACAATCAGGGAACTGCTAAATCTCTTTGCAGTGCATCCTCTTAGTTAACTCTGAATGGATTGAACCAAAATGTAGTTGATTTAACCCGTACAACACCCTCTGGCCTGACATGACATTCAGCCCAACGACCACTCGGTGTGTCAGGGCCTTAAAGTTCTTCAAACTGTTGGTAGTAAATCTCAGGAATTTCACGGGTTACTCAGACTCAGAGCCTTCTGAACTGCCTGCTTTCTTTTCCCACCACATCTGGAAAACCATAGGACACATTTACACCCAGGAGAGAATAAAAAACTAATGTAAACAACACCAAACAGGGCTTGGTGCTATGTTCAGGGGAATACTGTAATGTTGTGTTGACTGGTTATCAGTGTGTGCTTTATGTGCGTGTGCCACAGGTATTTGTGTGTATGTGGAAGGGCTGCAAGGTGTACAACACACCATCCACCAGTCAGAGCTGGCTGCAGAGACACATGCTGACCCACAGCGGAGACAAGCCCTTCAAGGTGAGAAACACACCACACACTCCACTCCACCCAGAGGCAGAATACATGCTGCTCAGCCTTTGGACCACAGCACATCCCTGACTCTTTAAGTGTTCCCGCAGTGTGTGGTAGGGGGCTGTTATGCCACGTTTGCCTCTCAGGGGGGGCTGGCCCGTCACGTCCCCACTCACTTCAGCTCCCAGAGCTCATCCAAAGTGTCCAACCAGGGCAAACTGAAGGAGGAGTCCCCATCCAAGGCTGGCCTCAACAAGAGGAGGAAACTGAAGAACAAACACAAACGCTCCCTGCGTATGTACACACACACAACCAACTTCAAATACAAAGTACTCATCAGGTGCCTGCGAGTACTATTTGAAACATGTTTTTATTTCCAGCCCGACCTCATGACTTTTTTGACGCTCAGACCATGGACGCCATCCGCCATCGAGCCATCTGCCTCAACCTGGCCACACACATCGAGAGCCTGGGCAACGGACACAGTGTGGTGTTCCACAGCACGGTGGGCAGGCACACACACACACACACACACACACACACACACACACACACACACGGTTGATCAAACAGGCGAGAGAGGGACTTGGAGAGGTAGGTGGCCTCGTACGGCTGCAGAGTCCTTCAGAGCCTTCTCTGGGCTACACACACACATACAAACACATACACACACACACCCACACACGATATCATGAACATAGGTGGCCATTCATAATCTAATCAAGTTTCAGCATGATGGGAGAGTAAAGAAAGTGCTGCAGTTGAATATATAATACATATACACACACTTGTACCCGTCTCACACGCACACACACACTCTGCAGGAATGAATTTGTTTTGTTTAGATTGTCATGCCTGTGTCTGTGTGTTTAGGTAATAGCCAGGAGGAAAGAGGACTCTGGGAAAGTGAAGGTCTTGTTGCACTGGACGCCTGAAGACATGTGAGTCCTACTCTTCTCCCCCCATGTGAGCCCAGTGGCCGTCTGCGAGACAGCGAGACAGCGAAACACAGCCCGAAACCAGCCCGAGCACACACACACACACACCCGCAGCCTGGCTGTGAGTCTGTGCGTGTGCTCACACACAGACTCACAGCCTCAGGCTGAGGAATCCGGGGAGCTGCAGCTGAGAAAAGATTGAGTGTGTGAGATTGAGTGTGTTACGTAACGGCTCCGCGGACGTAACGGCACTATACGCAAATACGTCACTGTACCCAGGAAGAAAAAGAGAAGCGTTCTGGAGCAGCATAGACAGGTCTTTTCTGTGTTAGAGTTTTACTCGCTACAGGGTGTACTTTGAGGGTTTGTGACTCTGCAGACCGTTTACATGCAGAAGCTACAGAACACACAAGGGGACGGGTAATAACCAGAAAAGCATGACATGGGCCCTTTAAACAAGGCCAAGAACAGGCTGAACCACTGTACTAGGAGCAGGGGCAGCTACTCTAATGAGTGTGTATATATAAATACTATACACACTCTGATGCCATGAGCCATGCATCCAGAGCTGAACTGTAACTGCCCCCCCCCCCCCCCCCCCCCCCAGGCTGCCAGATGTGTGGGTGAATGAGGGAGACAGACTGCAGCAGAAGACCAAGGTGGTCCACCTGTCCAAGCTCCCCACAGACACCGCGGTGCTGCTGGACCCCAACATCTACAGGTGTGTGTTGGTGACCATGCAAAGGTACTTTTGGACGTTGCTAGAAACCAATATTTGACCCTCTCTCTTTTCCCCTACAGGATGTTCTTCTAACCCCTTCCAGGTGAACTCCACTGTCACTTCCTGCTTGTCCCACCTCGAGGAGGAGGAGGAGGAGGAGGAGATGTTTCCTCTTCATCTGCATCTCCATGTTCCTCTTCTCCCTTCCTCCCTCTCCCAGAGGATGCTGGGAGTTTAGTGACTTATTTGCCATGGCTGTCAGGGGCCGGCAGTGTTTCTGCCTTAGAGCTGAGTTTACAGAGGCATGTACAGGGAGATGTTTAGGTAACACGACTAGACTGAAAACTAACTGTAGACACACGTGTAGAGAGAAGCTGTCCTTGTAAATACTTGAGATTTGTAATATATTTTTATACTTTGAATTTTTTACTGTACTGTAGATAGATGTTTTTTTTTCTGCCGAACATTTTTAAATAGATGTTTAAAACTGATGATATTGGTCATGTGCAGATAGTTGGCATTGCTCTGGTTTGATGTCATTAAACTTTTCCAACCTGAACTCACTCTGAAGTCTTTACTGTTCATCACCACGGCAACAATCTGCATGTTTCTGTTACACTAGCTAGCGCCATAGTTCTCCCATCAGGAATACATTGTGGTCATAAAGAAGCTTGTTCTATAACGTGATTCTGAGGTTATCTGTGTTTATAGCGGATAAACGACCCAGTACATAATGTATATATAATATATAATAAGAAAGGATTAGGGTCACCTGGAAAACGTGTTTGGGTTTAAGGACAGAACTTGGAAAATAAAATGCTGCCTTTAAACTCAGAATTGTGACTTACACTGAAGTCTGCCAATACAATTTGACTTTGGATTATTATAGTTTTATTTTACTCATGGCAAATATTCTAAAACATGTACACTTGAAGCTGTTTTGATGGACAGGAGCAGGGAGCAGAACGTCTTATTGTACTCGGGAATAGATGGCCTGTCAATCCCAGTTGCTTACAAATACTTCTAGTAACATGAAACCAAAAGTCAACACAACAATCTACCATCAGAGAAACAGGTTACCTGACGACTTCATGCTGTACATGAATCCTAAAGATTCAGCCCTTTAAATCATTAGGTAAAGACTTCCACAGTTTAACTGCAGAGATTTGAGCTCAGCTGTTGCTCTTTGAGTGTGAGTTTAAATAATGATGCTTTGTGATATTTTAATGTGTTAGCAACTGTAACAAAATAAATAACTAATACTGAGGACAATCACCATAGGGCACAATTTGGGCTTGCACAGGGACACAGTCTTGCACAGGGACATGCTGACTGCAGTGGGGATTGAACCAGGAGATCCGAGGATCATCGCACTGACCCACTGCGCCACAGCGCCCCATGTAACGTCACAGTTTGCTTACAAAGTCCATCGTTTTCTTTTACATAATAATGTAAGTATGTATGTCTCATCACTGTCATTCGATGTCTTATTTTTAGATTTACAACAATGGATTTAATTTCACTCACTTCTCCAAGGAATAAGGAGTTCAACACGTTGCTTTCTCCATACCAGTCAGCCTGGAAAACTTGATTATTACCATTAATAAAATGACTCGGTAATATCCTTAAGGATTTTCCAAGTGTGCCTAATATTATCTCTTATCAATTAACATTTTGTTATTATGAGACACGCCAAAAAAGAATTATAATATTGGTCATTTTATTATTGAGTTTGTTATTCACTTGTATTTCCTTTCAGCAGTATTTGTTCTACAAATACACATGCCACAACAATATTTCTACTCTTTCCATTTGAATTCCCACAGTTAAACATTCCATCAAATCTTCAACTACTGTTCAGTCATTCAACTGGTCACTGTCCACATTAAACCATGTCTCGGATAAGGCTATCACTTTCAAGTGTTTGAAGATATTCATCAATCTTTGTAAAGTTTGTGTAAAGACTTATCAAAGAAAATGAATGATCCAATAAGAAATGATCATTAAATTGATCTTCAGTATAATAACTTGACTTGAAAGAATGGTTCTATGAATGACATCATGCTGACAGGCAGCAGGGGGCGCCACGCCCCCGCACTGTTCATTTTAAAGACTTTTTTTCAAATTGTATTTTTTATTATTTATATCAAATACACAATAAAAAGGTACATAAACATAAATTCACAAAACTGAGGGCTTTTTGAACAGAAAGGGGAAAAAAACCCACAAGTGGTCATTCAGGAATTAAAGTGCTTTTTGACTTTTGCATAATTTAATAAATCTTTTGTAATTGATTTATTATAATTTCATTTAGAAAGACAATGAAAACTGGGTACATTTGAAAAAGCAACATTTGTTAAGATATATTTGGACAAAATCAATTGTTTCCACACAAGGTCAATACACGCTGTGCTGATGGTTAACATCATACTGTCCATACAAACAGGAAATGTTAACATTATTTGTATACCCTTTTAATTATGCTGTGGCTAAACGTTGTGTTTGTATAGAATCATATTATTTTATAACACTAAGGGACGAGCTTGGGTGTCTTGAACATAGATATATATATATCTATGGTCTTGAAAGGCGCCATCGCTGACGTCATATTTAGTAGCCGGAAGTAGTTGTGTCCGCAGAAGAGAATGGCTGGGCTGCTGAAAAAGGTAGGACTAGAGGTCATGTTTTGTTTAACGGTAAAAATAATGCAGTTCAAACAGTTAATATTTGTTCTCACCATATTGTTACAGTTTACGGTTTACTATCATCGGCAAATAGTGCAGTTTAAACAGGAGTGTGATGCTAGCTGAGTTAGCAATGTGTTGGCAGTTAGCTGCCGGATGAGAAAACTCACGGTGAAACACAGGTTAATATGACACATAAACACGGGTTTATATTATACATAAACAGGCGTAAATATTACACACAGGGTTCAGAATGACCGGACAGAGACGCTGCCGGGGAGAGACGGCGGTAACTACAGCATAGGCAAGGCAAGGCAAGTTTATTTATATAGCACCTTTCAACACAAGGCAATTCAAAGTGCTTTACAAAAATGGAAGACATTAGCATAGCTTAAGATAAGCATACAATTATTATAAATGGACTATCCATTTCAATGGTTTACATTGTAAAGGTGCATCATTAGTAGTAGCAACAGAATGAAATAAAGTTGCATTGTAGTTTGTAAATATGATGAGGTCCTGCTGGTTCCTCACAGCATGTGAAACATGACGATGAACTTAATGCTGGATTAGTCATAGCAGGAACTGCAGGTAGACCTAATATGATTAGATAGTATAATATGTTGTTGCTGAAGTCCCGTCTGGATTCATCTACTGTAAGGCCTAGTACTATACACCTGAATGCATCTACTGTAAGGCCTAGTACTATACATCTGGATGCATCTACTGTAAGGCCTAGTACTATACATCTGAATGCAGCCAATCATCAACATTAGGCCTAACTCTTTTTCCCCTTTTCATTTCACTTTGAAAACATTGTTCTGTTGAAATATTGATTAGTGAAATCACTATACTGCTGATATTCTGGTGAGTATTGTTAATGATATATCAATGATTGATTCACAGCTTTTGTAGTAGTTAAGCTGACTGTCTGTTAGGGCGCGATAATGCGATTGAAAGACCATTTTAAAAATAAAAAACATTATTCACATTTAAAAAATGGAACCGTTGGTCTCCTCCTCTCTTCCAGACGACCGGCCTGGTTGGCCTGGCTGTGAACCACAATCCTCATGAGGTGAGCACCGTGTCCTCACATCTATCTGTGATCACATGACGTTCTGCAGCCATCACTTGTAGTCCCTGTGTATTACCTCCACTGACCCCCCCGCTCTGTCTCAGCGTCTGAGGAGTCTCTACTCCAAGATCCTGGCGTCCCTGCAGACCATACCGCAGCACGCCGCCTACAGGAAGTACACCGAGCAGCTGGTGACCGAGAGGTTCAACCACGTCCAATCAGTGAGTGAGCAGATCCTTTGGGTGCTGAACTGAAGTCTAACAAGAGAATATTAATATACATAAATATACCTGGTGCACATTTCTCAGTCGATATCGATGTTTAGAATATAATTTGTCCGGTTCCCAAAGTATTTTCTATTTTCGTATTGTGAATTCCGTTTTGTGTCATGGAAACAAATCCTTGTTATGAAAAATATGAACAGAGCAGAGATACATTCTCTATCTATCATTTACTGAGAGCCAATATTATTATTTTCTTATTGGCAAAATGATTCTAGTGACTTTGAGCACTGTAGCGTTAGGATTGTGTTGGAGTGTGTATGGTGTGTGTAGCGTCAGGAGTGTGTATGGTGTGTGTGTGTGTAGCGTCAGGAGTGTGTATGGTGTGTGTGTGTGTAGCGTCAGGAGTGTGTATGGTGTGTGTGTGTGTAGCGTCAGGAGTGTGTATGGTGTGTGTGTGTGTGTGTAGCGTCAGGAGTGTGTATGGTGTGTGTTTCATGACTTGTTCAAATGAGGAAACTGAAATGTGTGTCTCTGTTCTCAGGAGCCTGATGTTGATAAGCTGGAGAATAAGATCAACTGTGGGCAGATTGAAGAGGTTATTTTCCAGGTAGGTCCCTGATAAGTGCCTCATCACACATGATTCACTTAGTGCTGCAGCAGGGAGACACCAAACGTCTCTCCCCGTGAGGGACTTGGTCTCTCCCCGTGAGGGACTTGGTCTCTCCCCGTGAGGGACTTGGTCTCTCCCCGTGAGGGACTTGGTCTCTCCCCGTGAGGGACTTGGTCTCTCCCCGCGAGGGACTTGGTCTCTCACCGCGAGGGACTTGGTCTCTCACCGCGAGGGACTTGGTCTCTCACCGCGAGGGACTTGGTCTCTCACCGCGAGGGACTTGGTCTCTCACCGCGAGGGACTTGGTCTCTCACCGCGAGGGACTTGGTCTGGCCCAAATCCCCTGTTCACTGATCTCTAATAACTTCATGGGATGAAATGTATTTCTGTTGCCTGATGGTTCTGTGGTGGTTCAACACAGTTGGATACTAAAGATAGCCTCTTGCCTGATAAGCTGAAACCTCCCAGAGTCTTTTCATCTCCCTTAGCAAAAAATGGAATTTGTGTAAATGTATTTCCTGAAAGCATTATATCTGAAGTGGCTGTGCGTCCTGTGTGCAGGCTGAGTGTGAGCTGTCTCTGGCAAGGAAGATGTCTGAGTGGAAACCCTGGGAGCCGCTGATAGAGGAACCCCCCACCGACCAGTGGAAGTGGCCTGTCTGAGCCCCCTGTGTGTGCTGTCATACTGTGTGTGTGTGTGTGAGATCATCCCTGCTTCTAATGAAGTACTGTACAAATAAAAACCCTTCAAACATCTCATTTATTCTCAAGTCATTCAAGAACAGCACACAACCTCTGATCACATGGGTCTCTGTATATGGAGGATCATATGATTCAGCTTTCCATACACAACCTGGGAAATAACAGTCAACATTTGTATTTCAACTAGTTTGTTAGCAGATGTTATAAGTGTCATGATTGTAGTTAAGACTTGGGTCACTCAGGTTATCCAGGTAAAGTGTCCCC